TCTGCATGGTTGCTCAAGTGGAGAGACAATATCAGAATGAAAGTTTTCTGGTATTTCTTCTGCTGCTTATCTCTTTAACTGGAAACAACTATTCTGTGCATTAAAGCAAAGCAGCCTTTTGCATTTAGTACAGATGTTGAATGGCAGTTACTTGAAATCAGTATGTCTCCAGCATTCTATGTATTTACTTTTAAAATCCTGCTTCTCCCAGCTGTTTTGACAGGCAGCTGGTGTTGCCATCTCATGCTTGACAGGTTTATGTCATGCACAAACTAAGCTTTTTTACTCCTCCTCCTTTTAACTGGAATACTGGACTAGATACAGGTTTTAGTTTGTTCTGCTGGCAGTGTCTATTCTTTCATAATTTGTTATTTAATGTTTATAAATATTAATATTGCTTCTCACTGATTACATTAATATTTCTGTCTAAAAATATAGTCTTGGAATTCATGCAGTCATTTAGCACTAAAAGATCAGTGTGTCAATCAATGTGGTTACAGAAGAGCTGCTTTTTATAGTATTGCTGAACACAAACTGTTAGTGTGAAAAGACTTTAGAATTCAAACAGAACTGTGCTTAGAATGTAAGTCAAAAAGGAAGTAGTAGTTACTGAATTAATGTACATAATAAACCTGTTGCAATGATAAATTCTGTCATAGTGGTGAGAAATACCATTTGATGCTTGATCTATAGGTGAAAAGTGAATTGAGAGTAACTTTTTTTCTCTTATATACTCCCTTAGCTCTCATTCCTTTTGTTATTTGCAGTATTCACAAATAAATGTGTGAATGACAAAGTTGGATGTATCAATGACAGATATTTTGCTCTTTATAGCACTGTTTATTTGTAGGCAAATACAACTCTTCATCCTCTGACCTTTTCTGACGTGATGCTTATTTAAAGGGTTTGGAAAAAGCCTACAAACTCTCCTTTTTAGATGTAGGAGAAACCTCCATGTTTGGCTGGAGTTGACTGTTGGGAAAAGTCTGTGTGCTTACACATGGGAAGAAATATTAGTGGTCTGATCTCACAGAGGAGGAGAGGAGGACATGTTTCCATGCAAGAGAAGAGATTATGTCCTAATGATTCTTTCTCCAGCGGTATCATGAGGTACTTCTGTAGCCATATTCTTCTGAAGAGCCATTAAAGACATGAGTGCTTTTGTTATACAGAACAAATCAAACATCTTGGGCAAAATGGTTGTTGTCTCTGCTCTTTTTGACAAAACTGCTTATGCTTGAGAAACACAGCTTTGCAACTCCTCCTGGTTCCCTTCATCTGCCTTTTTCATGCAGTTTCAGAATTACTGTCATCTTAAAAAAGGAGAATGTGACAGGAACGAGTGATTAAAGGAGGAAAAGAGATGGGGCTGGGGAAGCTTAGAGATACAAAGTATAAAAGAGGAGATAGGAAGCCATGTGTGTCTGACCCATGCTCTTCAGTAGTATCAGGTAGTAGTGTCACCTTTGCCTGCTGTTTTCAATACTTGGGAATGTCCACTGTTGTGGTGTGGCTGTTGCTTCCTCCACAGGAAAGGTGGTGGTGTGCTGCTGCTGTAACTACTGCCATATCTCATTCTGGTCATTGTGGCGGTTTTGTTTCTGGGCCATGCATGTGTTCATATGGTCCATGCGATGGCATGGCTGTTTCTTCGGCTTTTATTAAAAACTGAGAATATAACCAAAAAACCCATCAAAAGAACTTTACTAAGGTTGCCAATAGAGATATTTTAAAGTTCAGAAATTTCAAAATTCAAATTTGAGATGAAGCCTTAATTTACTCTAAATGTATGTGGAGGTGATTTTTGTTTCTAGTCAGTAATTTTCAGTTTGCAGCCCCAAAATATTTTCCAGTGGAATAGTGTCAGTTGGAGTGTATTCAGGCCTGCATCCTTTGGGCTTTCCTCCTTAGAGTCTGTGGGCCCCAGAGAGTAGGGCGTGAGCACTGGGGGAGGCTATGGAGAACCAACCAGTAGTAGTATTTTAGTTGCACAATAATGTCTTCATCTTAATTGCGTGATCTCGTGACCTCTGCCTCTTTCACTGCACTATTTCACATTTATTTTTGAGAGGAATCAAATTTGGAGAACTAGTTTTCTGTAGGGCTTATGTGTAGCAGAAACTGGAAGAGTAAATGGATGGTTAGAACTTCATTGATGGTGATGCAGTATTTTATTTCCTCAGTAGACTTGGCTGTTTTATTTCCTCTTCACCAGTCAGAATATGATCAGTAAAAATCACCTAACAATTTATTAATTCATATGTTTTTTATATCTGTAGCAACTGACAGGTATGTGCCTCAGGTAAAGGAGTGGGTGAGCAGAGGGAAGGTGGGCCTACTTAAAATGGTTAATCCAAGTAGTCAAACCTGAATTTGAGTATGTGTGCACAAGGGGAGCAAGCTAGCATTGGACGGTCAATCTTAACTTAGAGGTGTGCTTTATTTGGCAGCTTCTGTATTTCTGGTAGTTTTGTGTGTAATTTTATACAGTTGGATATAGTATGTTAAACAGATTTTGATGCAAGGAATAGATGACTTCTCCTAGGAGACACAGAGGGTATGGGATAGGTCTGAAGTTTAGCCTGGTGCAGCTTTTAGAAATTAGAAAAACAATATTCTTGTTTCTCTTGTTAGTATAATGGATATTTCCTGGGTAATTTAGGGGTTGAGGATATAATCTAGTATGTTCACCAGAAAGCAACCAGACTGCTTCAGAGAGTTTTCTCTCTTCCCTTTTTTCCTCTTGTTCTCTACTTCCCATCCTCCCTTCTCTGGAAAACATTTAAATAGAATTAAAAGCTTTGCACAGGAATGCTTGAAATGCTTGTGAGTTAGACTGTGTGAGAACCCCTTCTACTCTTCTGGCAGATTTTCAGAAAAGCTTAGCCCTGTATTTCTTGAAGCTATGATGTGCTGTGTTCCAACAACGCAGAAACTAAACTTGCACCATCTCTTGGGAACATGGCTTAAAAAGTTAGAAGAGCTACAGACTGGGATTCTCTTGTGCTTTGGAAAGAGAGCGGAGTCACATCCCGCGTCCGCTCTGAACAAATAAGCAACCAGACTGGGAGAGGAACTTGCTAAAAACATGGTGCAGTATAAGAAAGTTAAAACAAAAACTGAAAACAAGTTACAGGAGGAAATATGTTTAAGAAAAATCATTGAATTATGGGTTTAATTATGGTAGGAATAATTTACTTCCACTCGTCTTAAATCAGATTTATTAGAAAATAAATGCATGTAATCAAGGAATTCACTTTTCAGCTACGAGTTACCATTGAATATCTTTCCGAGAACTCACAGCTAAGCATGGTATTTTTCATTTTTAAGTGTTATTCAAGTATTAGATAAATTTGGATTCAATTTTCACTTGCTTTTTACAATGTGGTGTCTTTCTGCCCTGGACAAGTGTAATTGTTATTAAAAACATTGTTGCTAGGTAGTTGAAAAATTTGAACACCTTAATTAAAATAAAAAGGATTTGTTTTTATTTAACAAAAAGCTGATTTGTTTTCCTTTTGTTCTTCAGCACTTTGCCCATGCAAAAATAAATACATGCTTATGTATTTGAGTGCTTGTATGTATATGTATACAGAATGCATATGTATTACATGCATGTGTATTGTAAAGTTTTCATGACCAATATGGTGATGAGAGTGGTGCTTATTGCTCAAGTAATAAATTATTCTTCTTGATCTAGAATTTTTGTTAGAATTGGTCTTTAAGTGGTTCCCTTCACTTCATGGATGAATCTTCATTTTTAGTTACTTAAGGATGGGTTGAATGCTTTGTGATTCAAGAAATCTGATTAGACTGTTCAACCTGTACTTATAAAACGGGGATATTCTAGGATGATTTGAGGACAAATTTGATCTCCTGCTTGGCCATATTATCCAGGGCTTCTTTTTTCCATCAGTGTCTGCAGTGAATTTTCTTCCATAACTTTGAGTTCCTGAACCCCCATGATAAATGAAGTAATGGACTACCTAAGGGTAATGCAAAGGAAGTTTGATGGCAAAATATCAGTAGATACATTTTTTTTTTTCTGCAAAAATAATTTTTTTGGCATAAATCAATGTTGTGTATGAAAGGACATTGTCTTTAGGAGCCTCGATGTCTGATTTGCGATGGGGAAAAACAAATGGCATTTCAAAATAATGGGAATAATGTGAAAGAAGGAATATTCAGACTTGAAGGACAGAAATAGAACAATTGGAGAGAACTGTTCAGAGAACCAGAGTACTTGCAAGTAAGATCAGGAACTTAAGAAAAGTAAGAACCTCAAGTCAAAACACAACCACTTTCGTTAATTGGTTTATGAATATGAAGTTGATTTTAGTCTGGTTTCTCAAGGACTTTAAGCTTATATAATCAGTTGAGCTTCATTTCCATCAGTAACTATGGAACCCTTATGACCAGTTTCAACTTTCAACAAAATTTTACTGAAGGGTAACAGTTTCAGAGATCATTAAGTTGCTGCACATTCTGTGACGATCAGCAGGCTAAGGAGTGAATCCCAAACTTATTTTCCAGCTAAGACAGGGAAACCCACTGCTGCTGCTTTTCCCATTTGTCAGCAGCTTAACAGACATCAGGACTTGTGTATTGGCCTGTTGGCAAGCATGGAGTTGAAAATTAATTAGTGCATGGGTTGCTCTACAGTAGCAGAGCACTTGCCAACTCTTGCCTAAGAGCATTTTAGTAGAAGACTTCAAGGGAACAGAGGTTACTGTGGTGGGTATTGAAAGGAAAACAGCAGAGAAATTCTTGGGAAACCATGGTTTCTTGGGTTTTATTACTTGCAGAACTGCCTTCTGATGTGTTAAAGGAATTTGAGTTCACAGAAGAAGTGCTTAATCCTATTTTCTTTATGTTTATTTATTCATTTATATTTCTCCATGGGTGTACTTTTCTTGCAGTGGTGCGATGAAAGATTCAACTTCCAAGCTACGTTTTTACAGTGCTTGGCAAAACATGTGCCAAATATTTACTCAGCTGAAATGGACCCCTTGCTGGAGAAACAAGAAGAAATGGTGCAGGCAGCAATATTATATCCCTTGGAATGTTATTTGTTTGGGGAAGACCCAGATATATTCCTGGAGAAACTACAACAGACTGGAACCTCCCAGCTCTGTGGGAAGGTGTTCAAAGGAGGGGAGACAACGTACTCTTGCAGGTAAGAATGAAGGTATGTTATCATGAATGTTGCCATGTGAGATAATGCAGCAAAGTGGTTTAATAAAATCAGTTGTGCTACACACTAGTCATTGCTTGTGGTTTGGTATGTCTTTGCTTAACTGACAGTGGCATTTGCTTCACATTTCAAACCATGTTAGACTGAGGAAAATTGTGTATGAAAAGAAGGCTTATGCAGAGAAATAGGAAATCGAAAGGATACTAAAGGTACTGAAATTGGTTAAAAATATTGGATAAAGTATGAGTATGGGGTCTGTACCTGAATTGAGGAAGAGCAGGCATAAAAATCCGTATGCTGTACTCACCTTTTCAAAGTCTGAAACAGGATCCAGCACTTCTGAGCATCATCAGTCCTTTGCTCAAGCAATAGTTGTGTGACCAATGGTCATTTTGTTTCACCTTCTTTCTCATCCTGGACTATATTAAAGATGGCAGCACACTGATATAATTAATTTTATTAAATTAATACAACTATATTGAAATTAATAAAAATATTAAAAAGCCAGAGGTCTTTCTGGTAGCTGTAAAGTTTGCAACTGTGTTGGCATATTTTACTGTAGTTTTCAGTTAATTTTAAAAGCCTAGAAAATTTCAGCAGAAGTACCCAAAGAATATTATTAAGTAAAAAAGAATATTATTATGGCTAAAAAAGCTCTTGTAGACTTTGTTTATGAATTATGCTGTAACATTTTAATCAATTTCATACTCTTTTTCTAGGAGTAAGTTAGTGTTGCTTATGAAAGGAGAATGGCCTTTGAAGAAGTTCGTATGCGTTTGCTAGAAATTGTATAGTGAATGTGGCATTGGACTGTGCAAAGGGAAAAGAGTGCTCAAGGCAGTTTAGTACTGCTGTAACAGGAATTTAGTACTGGTGTTCCTGCCTCTGCCGAGTTCTTGTATGATAGCAGGCAAAAAGACAAAGCTGTGTATCTCGGAGGTGGTCTCTCTTTCTTCTGCTTTTTGAGTTCCTGTCATGCAAAAATGTGGTGGTATTTATACAAAATATGATACTACTGCAGCTGAAGCTAAATATACATTTGCTTTAGGCTTCTAAAATGTTAAAAATAATAGATGCTCTGAAAATATTCAGAATGTTTCAGAATCTAAGTGTCTTGAATTCTGCATTCAAATCTAGCAGTATTTCTGGTTTTATTTCTTTTAACTCACCTTGTGGTAGATTGATGATAATGTTAGAGAAGTACTAAGTTATATTGTAACTATTATTATCTAAAGGTTTGAAAGGAAAGTAATTCTGTAATCAGAAATACCGTACTATCTCAGGTGCATTGTGAAGGAGGTTTGAATTAGATGTTGAACATTGCTGTAAAACAAAAAACTTGCTATGTTGTCATTAAACATGTGTAATCCACATTTTCCATAGAATGAAATAGCATTTAAAGAAAAAAGAGTGACCATGTCCTGGGGAATAAGGGCAATAAAAAAACATATGTATGTGTAACAGGGGAAAAAATGGAACTTGGTTGCCCATGAATATAATTCTGGATTTTCAGGTATTATTTGAGCACATGACTGAAACTGTTGATATAAAATTTCAAAATATATATTCTTTGGCTCCTTTTGAAAAGAAATTCTCCTTAGATTTTAACTTCTAAGTTTTAAAAGTTAGAAACTTATCTTAGCAGAAGTGTAGTAGAAGTTTCATTAGCAGACTGGCTACAATTGTGGGAAACAATGATAAAGATTACTTCAAAGTCATCATGGCTTTTAATAACTGCTTATTCTTAGCAAAAGCAGAAATATGTTAGCAACAAGTTTTGAAAGTGGAAACCAAACATGTTTGTGATAGAATCTGATATAACGTGCTGGAGTACATGGTTCAAGTGTAACAAGATTGGCTTTCATCTTCTTTCTGTGATGTGGAGTAGCCAAATGTTTTTATAATTTGAATCTGTTGTTAATCTCAGAGCAGCATTTTCTTTTGCGCATGGAAATTCCATATGTTTGTTTTAGAATGTTTTCCACTTACCATTTTTGTTGCAGAGACTGTGCAGTTGATCCAACCTGTGTACTCTGTATGGACTGCTTCCAGAACAGCATTCACAAGAACCACCGGTACAAGGTAGAAAAATATTATATTAAGAAATTGTACTTGTAGCTTTAGCAAAGATTTTTCTTTTTAATAATAAACTGCATATAAACCAGTAGTAATTTTTATATTAAAAAAATCTAGAATTTAGTGTTTAGTTATTTTTTTCTCTCCCATGTTTCTAACTGTGTAAAACCTCTTTTAAGAAACTTTCTGATTCAAGAACCAAAGGGTAAGGGAGTGTTTATGAATACGTACATTGTTATTCTCTTTGGCAATATCACAGAAGTATATGCCAGAGCAAAAAGCTGTGACTGCAAATGACAGTCCAGTCCTGTCCTGAGTCCCAGTCAGTACTGTTTGGAAATTTAGAATGGGTGTGTGTATACAAGTGCCTTAACTTCAGCACTTATGTCACTGATGCAGTCTCTATATTTCCACTTAGATTTGCATAAACTACTTTGTACTTAGTGTGGACTATGATAAAGTTAAAACAAATGTTAAGCAATGTTTGGTTTTTGTTTTGTTTTATTGATGGGATTGTTCTAGGAAAGATCACGCCTTTCTGATAATTTTTTGATCCTCTTTAAGCTAAATCTGTTATCTTAGAGAGCTTCTCATGCTTTAATTAAAAAAGGATAATTTAAATAGTTCTTAGCTAACTCACTGCCTAAAGTGTCATCTGCTGTTTCCTTCCCAGGCCCCATTTTTTGCTTGCCCTCTTCTTTGAGAACTCTAATTTCAACATGCTTGGAAGCAGAAATGAAAAAAAAACCAAACATGAAGTGTGTGTACAGAAACATTATTTATTCAATTTATTTATCTTTCATGACCAAAAAGCAGGCCAGCTTTTTTTGCAGTTATTCCTTCTATTCATTGACATGACATCCATTGAAGAGATTTATCTTGTATAATGAATTGGTCATAAATCCCCTTTAAGTAGATATGTTTCAATGAGAGTTTGGAAGAAGGTCCTAGCAATCTCAAAATTAACTGGGACTAAAATACTGTATCCAGTATTCTGCCCCTCTGTACAAACCTTTGCATACTGATCTGAAAACATGTTGTAGATATTTATTCAAAGACTTACAGACCTACTTGAATAATGGAAATATATATGCAGATGAATGCACACACACAATTTACAGAGAGGCAAGATGAAAAACAGGGAAAATAGACAATAATGATTAGAGAGCAGTTTGGAATCACAGCTGGGCTGAGAAGCTGTTGTCCTTTCCCTGTTTTTCAGTAACTTCAGGCAAAATGTCAGCCATATATAGTTGTATGGGAGCAGATTTGCTGCATTTACATTTTAAAGATGCAATGTAAAGAATACAGATTGTGCTCTTTAGAGATTCATAGAATAATTTAGGTTGGAAAGGACCTAAGGAGGTCACCTAGTCCAACCACTTGCTCAAACCATGTCTAATTAGATCAGGTTATTTTAAAACGTTTCAAGTAAATAACAATGTTGAATGTCTTTTTATTGGGTCATACAGTGTTTTTATAATTATTTTAGGATTGGGGATTTAGAGTAAGATAAGGAATTATTTTTGCCACAATGAAGGGTCAGAATTTGTACTTTTCTGAAAGTGTAATGCAAAGTTTAAGTTGCAATAATTTATTTAGATGCTAATTATGTCTTATTTTCTTTGGTTAGAAGTGGCGGTGCAACAAGAAGTTTAATATACTCATCCTTGTTTTGAGTATTTTCAAACTCTACCAAGGAATTTGTAAAGAAAGCATTAAGCACTTTTGCTGTAATTTTGCTCATAAAAGCAGAAATTATTATTTTGCTGTTCATGAAGCACTTATTCATCAGTCATAGGCTTTTCCACCTACTTTCTAGTTAAATTTGTTTTAGATTTGCTTATTCAATACATGTTTTTTACAGATGCATAGCTCCACTGGAGGTGGATTTTGTGACTGTGGGGATACAGAGGCATGGAAGGCTGGACCACTGTGTACTAAACATGAGCCTGGAGCATCAGGTTCTGCAAAAGAAGTAAGAATATTGTTTAAAGTGAAAGAATAAATATTATAAATATTGCCTTCTTTAAAAACAGTGCTTATTTCTGTATAGGAGAGTATGTATATAATATAATTCACGTGGTAGATCCAGTTCAGTTGAATCAAGATTTCCTTGGTTGAGGTGTGTGTTCAATATAAATTGAACACCGTTTATCTCCCAACAAAAGGCAAAACCAATAGAACATTTCCATCTACCTGTCTCATGCATTTCTGTCTTTGATTTGGAATTAAAATTGCTATCTCTTGCTCTTTTCTTTGCTGTGTGTATTACTCAATTCTTATTTACAAGTAATTGTTTTCCCAGTGACTAGTAAGTGTTTAGATAGAGTAATTGAGTTTGATAATACTTTCTCTTTTCCACATTACTGTATTACTGAACAGTCGGGTTTTTTAGTTGCTTCTGGTATGTGATCTGTCCCTATGACTAAAACAACTCCCTATGCTTTAAAACTGAACACTAACCTTTTATGCTAGGATGTCTCATGCTTATTATACCTCATAAAGCAGCATATTAATGAGAAATATGCCATTTATAAGTAGTTCTCAAACCAAATGTGTTCAGGTACATTTATTTTTTTTTAAGAGTCCTACTTCCTGAAATAATCAGGACAAAAAGCCTCTTAGCATTTGTCATTGCAAATAGGCCTCTAATTCTGCCTGGTTTTGTTGCAAAAGCAGTGTTCTGTTTGATCTGATGAAAAATCAAATGGAAAAGGAATAGAGAGCACTGGTCTTACGGAAAAATGAGACAAAGCTTTCCTTCACTTGTTCATCCTTCAAAAAACCATTAATCTTAATGGATTTCAGAGAGAAAAATAGCTGAAGCTCCAAGAATGCTCATCTGATTACCGGTTGGAGCTTGTCACTGTAATGTTCACCTACTTCAGTAAAGTCTATTCAGCTGAGCTGTACTTACCCCTGAATACTGAGCTATCTGATGTATGTGGCTGATACCTACATATTATTCATGAAAACCTGTAATCAAAAAAGCCAGATTGCCAGAATTTCAATGTTAGAATACCCCACGTTAGCTATCCCAAGGCAGTTGATTTTACTTCTGTCACCATTGCTACATAATATGTTCAATACTTTTTTCTAGCGTGTTCTAGAGATGTTTCAAGAATAAGAACCTAGCACAGTTCCTCCCTGGGAAGTATTCATTTTTGTCCTTCCATTCTGAAGGTAAATAGGATTTTTTTGCAATGCTAGAGTCCTGATACTGTTGATAAAGGATGTACAGGAAGGCAGATAACTCGTGTCTACCAGCTTCAAAGCCACACTTAGATACTATGGAAAATTTATGCTATAAGGTACTTGGTATCAGGTTTTTAGCTGATCAATGAGATGTCCTTATATCATGATGATATTTAGCAATGGTCTTAAGACAAAATGTTTATGTCTCAGTTGAGAATTAAGTGTTCTTCCATGGATACCTGGATGAACATGGACCTATGAGGCACATAAAGAACTTTACCAAAGAGATTCTAAACAAAATAGGCGGGTCTCCCTGCTTTGAAGTTTAGGTCTCTGTACAAGATCTTCAAGCAGTTGCTTCGGCACATAACTTTTGAGAATAATAGTAGGTTTTGATTCCAATAACTCTGACCAGAGTCCTTAAAATGTTTACTTCCCACTGGGGAACCTGTTTCACTGCAACGTGTAGATTTTGATCTCTTAGATGTGGTATTTGCACCTATGACAGCATATTCTGCTTTTTGTCTCTGTTTCCTTTAGAACAGCTTTTTCATAAAAAATAAAATAATCAAAAAACAAGTATTAGGAAAAACATCAAAACTTTTATCAATTTTACCAAAAGACTGTTTCACTCTTGTTAAATTCACTGTCGAAGCCTTCCGGGCTTTTTTCAAAACCGTATTTAAACAAAGCTTGAGAGCTTTCAGAGTCCACAGCATTCTGTTTCTGTTTGGATGAAGATAAGCTGCTCAGAATATTCTTCAGGCCATTTGTATCTGACAGAGATAAGGTTAAAGGATAGGTAAGTAATGACAGCAGCTAATGCAGTATCTCTTGGTTTTAGTTTGTGAACTATAATCATACCTATAATGATAAGGAAACAGGGAACCTCCCATGCTGCTTTGAGTATTATTTCTCTTCCAATCGAGTATTATTTCTCATCCAATCTCTGATAAGGTCTTTGGTTTGCAGTGAATTAGTTTGACCATCACTTCTGTCATGGAGTTGCACAAGTCTAAAGTTGTTATAACTGCTGTCACATAAACTGGAACATACTCTTACAATGAGTGTTACCTGAGAGTCGTGAATGCTAGAAAACATATAATTAGACATTTACTTGGATTTCAAGCAGAAGAGTTACTTTTGTAATAGTTTTTTGTTGCCAGTATATGTAGTTATTATGCAGACAGCTCACACAGACTCCCTAGTAAAGGACAGAAGTACAACCACTAGAATAATGAAATGCATCAGTATATTAATAATACTATATGTAACTATTTAGCAGATTGCATTGCATGACCACCTTCCATTTTAATAAAAAGACTTGCCTGTCAGGGATTTTTCATGATGAAGAGGCTCATGGATGTTTGGATTAACTCATAATTTGTTCTCTGTTTTGATATTCAAGGACATCCATAATTTAGGAATTTTCTCAGCATATAGTGCTTATTCAAGGAGATAAATTGCAAAATGCTTGTAGAACAGACATCTTGCCTATTTCTTTTCCACCACGTTTTCTGATAGTATAGGAGTTTATCTCATGCTTGTCAAACAAAAGCATTTTCTGGATGATCCTGACCGGTATTCCTTTAATTACTCTAAATGCAGAGGATGTATTGTGCTAGGGTGTTTATAAGCTTTCTCTGAACAGGTAGGAGCAAATACGAAGATGCATATGTTTATGCTGTGTTTGTCTGCAATGCATGTGTGTATTCTGCATACATATACATATGGGTATTCTGCAATGCAGAATGTGGTAAAAATGCGTTTAGGAACTGGCTGCTATTTTTAAAAGGCAGATTAATAAGTGTAAAGTGATCTACAGAACGACCTCTTTTTCAAAATGAGCCCTTGGTAAAGGATGGGTTTGAATCTACAACATTAAAGATAAGCATCAGATTTTTCAGCATTTCTGAGATAATACAAGGTAAGCATTAGTAAAATACAGGATCCTTACAAACATCCTAAGTAAACCTTAGTTAAAAAAAAAACCAACAAGCTTTACTATAAGGAGATTTACAATCTACAAAGCTTGTTGGTGTATATGTATAATGGGGCTCAAAAAAGCAATCCTTCATTTTTAGAATCCTCACTCCAGGCTTTTAGGAGTCATCCATTCCCTAATTGATTCCAAATTAATGTCTTCACTATACCAGAAATATAACAACCTTTTTGCCCAAATGTGTCCTTAAAAAAGTTACTATGAGGTGTGTCTGAGATGAGGTAAAAATACTGCCACATTTGTTTAAACAAAATGAAAATAAGAAATTGGTTGTTAGTTATTTTTAAACTTTGATATCTGAACATACTTTGTTCGTTCTTCCATAATTTTGTTTTTTGAAGCTTTGCCTGAAGCTTAAGTAATTACACAGTTTTGGGCATGGTTTTGAGGCAATTTTATTTTTACCCTTGCAGTTTACATTAGATGTATTTTAATTTCATTTTACTGTGACTTCTGTTAATGTGGGTAGCATTGGAGGTCACACTGCATCATTTAACTTTTCACTGCTTTTGTGAGTAATTCCCATTTTTAATAGTTTATAAATCCTTTGATGTGGTTTCCTTTGATTTCTTCTACACACTGAAGGAGAGCAGTGTGTCTTACTACAAGACTCTTGGTTGGAGTATCTCTGTGCACAGCTCTGTTTTCCTCCAGTTCTATCATATTTGCTTAATATGTTAATGCTTAAAAAAACAAACTTAAAAGACATACTGGAAAAATAAATTAGTACATTTTCAACGTGGTTCAATTAGATTATTGTTAGCACTATAGTTTTTTCTCATTCTGCTCCAGACTTTAAGGTGATCATAGCTTTGCCAGTCTGGGAAAATAATAATTACCCCAGACATTTACATTCTTTAATACCAAGATCTACCACGAGCTTATCCAAAATTATGTATGTACACACAGTGGTATTTAAGGACCTTGATTTCATTGGCAGATGTTTTAGATTGTATGTTTGAATGCAGATTATTCCTCTAATGCTTATGAGGTCATTAAACTGTTGTTCAGAGCTTTGGAAGCAATTGGTCATGTTACGCATTTTTACTTCTTTTCCACTATATTTTTAGCAGTTCCGTCGTATGTCATATGGACACAACGTGATTTTATTTGGTGCTGGGCTTTTTTTAAGCAGTTTTCTTCATAAATGGATAAATGTGACTATAGTTAATTTCCCCCTCCCCTGCCCCCCCAAAAAACCCAAACCCAAACAACATGATTCTTGTCTATATTAAACACACTGCTCTTTCTATTCTTTTATATTTAATGTATGCCAGATCATGCATTGCAAAGGTGAGTGCTCTTAGTACTTTGAGACTAAAAGTAACATGTGAAAACTTTATCCTTGGAAAGCACCTCTGTTTCTCATCTTCTCACACTCTGGCAAACACACACATACTGAGATTTTGTAGGCAGTTTGTGTGATCCCAAAATCATGGGACACTTTGTGTAAATACTCTAGAAAATATGACTCTATTTCTGTGTCCTATTTGTATATGAAATTATTGGATTTGGTTGCATTAACATTAGTAACAACATTATATACCATTTATATATGCACATGCTGAAAGGAAGGTGGTACATGGAAAAGGTCATCAGGGCATTTGGATTAAAACTGTCTTTTAACAATATGTTGCAATGTATCTATGTCTTGTACCTGAATATTGATTGCTTCATTCTGAAGTGAAGATTTGCTATTAATTTTCTTTACTTATAACCTTATTTTCTCTCCTGCTTAAATGCTTATGGAAAGAATTAATAATGTTATATGATGTAGACAATTCACTTAATGAGCTTTATCTGTATGGCTGGAAAATATGTCAGTTCACAGGAATATTTTGAATGGTTTCTAGGTCTGTGATGGGACCTCTGAAAAGAGGAGTTAGGTTTTCTTGGATGATTCTGTTCTAGGAGTGTCAAAATGTTTGATGTCTAATGTAATACACAGAAGAGCAAGAAATATAGGGGAAGAATTTTGATCTAGACTGCAAACTTTCAATATCTTCAGGTGTACAGAAAGCTGTTAACCAGCTTTCTTAAGTTTAAAAAAAAGTTGAAGTTTCCTAACACATTTAATGAGACCTTTCATAGTCTGTTCCCAGATAAAAGCTGGATGTGTAAAAAAAGGTAGGTGGAACTGTTGGAATACTAATGAGAGCCCTTGGGATGAAATAGTTTTCAGGAGAAGAAATTAGGTGAAATAAATTTGCTTGAAAATCACAAAAAGACTAATTTCCTGAAACAAATACAGTAATAAGGTGTTCTGCCAACTCTTTTTTCATTCCTAAAATTTCTTTTCCATATGAATATCTCCTGTTTTACAGAATTCTGAATGTCAGTTGAATGAAGAAATTATGGAGCACTCTAGGAGAGTGTTTCCCTCTGTGATAAAATACATTGTAGATATGCTTATTTGGGAAGAAGAGAAGGAACTGCCTCCGGAGCTCACAACTAGGTAGGAGTATTTCCAACTTTCTCTTTAAGGCATTAGAAACTTTGGTAATAATTTTTCCTGTGTTACTGTTACATATATGCAAGCATATTATTGCCCAAATCCCTGTAAATGGCACTGTAGCATTTTTGACCTATGGTTATATAGAGAAAAGCTTTTGATACTTCATGGGAAAAGTACTATTTGACTGTACTGCATAAGTTGCTGAGGGTTGCTGCTCTGAAGCTGTCCTGATCCACACCAGAGTGGCAAATCTTGGTGCACAGTAGGGTTTCCTGAGACAGGGAAATGCCAGGGCAGTGGAGAGACCTGTTGGTAGCTGGCAGCTCTCGTCAGAGGCCTGGGCATTACCACAGCAACCGCAACCACTCCTGTGCCTATAAAAAGCAGCTTAGCAGTGACCAGTGTGGCAGATTAGCCAGGGCATGGTGTGGAGTTTGTGTGGCAAGGCGTGCAGGAAGGGTGTAGTCACCCTACCAGCTCAAGAGGTGACTTCAGAAGGTGGTCATCACCTACTCAGAAAGGGGATAACTATGGTATCCACCTGGCAGAAAGCTATATCCCCTGCACTCACCAGAATGGATGCGGCAACCCAGACAGAGCTCCCACAAAAACACACAGCTGTCCAGTTCTCTGGCAGCATAGAGTGCCAGAGCCTTTCACTGGTAACACATGGCAGCAGGGAGTGCAGCTGTGTGAGGTGTTACCAGGTGGATGGTCTACTCAGCCTGGTGGTAGAGTCACAAGAGGAAGTAGAAAGGTTAAGGAGCACCAGGAACTGTGTGGAAAAAGGCAGACTGGTGGAGCAATGCTCTGCCTTCCCTGAGACAGCTAACAGAAAAAAACCCCAAGATCCTGTATCTTCCCACTACCAGGCTAAAGGCAGTAGGTTAAAGGAAAGGAGTGAATAGAGGCAAGTCCACATTCATGGTGGCAGGTAAACACTCTCCCTGCCTACCTTGCCTTCCCAGGTGCCTCTCTACAGCAGGTATTAGGGTCTAGATGTGGAAGGACAGTCAATTGATGATGTGGATGGCAGCCCGTTTACACCAGAGGCATTGCCAAGGTCAGAAAGGCCTACCCCTCATCTCACGACTACCTCCATGAGGCAGAAAAGATGGGTTATAGTTATAGGTGGCTCCTTTGTGAAGGGAACAGGTTAAAATCTCTTTTGTACTTGATGCATGGTTTCTGTGCCTTTTTCTGATACAGGTGGTGAGGGGGAGTTTTGTCCTGGGTTCATTTTTATCATGAAAAATATGCTTAGTTTTCTTTAATTTTTTTCTATTTGACATTTCTCTCAAGCTATCAAGCGAGCTGTGGCTTGTATTGGATAGGACACTACTTACCATTTTATTTTTATTTGCATGATGATCTATCTGTTGACTTTTTCCCAGCAGGGAGAAGGTAGACAGCTACTACTGTGTCCTTTTCAATGATGAACATCATTCTTACGATCATGTCATCTATAGCCTGCAAAGGGCACTTGGCTGTGAACTCGGTGAAGCCCAGTTGCATACTACTGCCATAGATAAAGAGGTTAGTGCATTTTGGATATCGGAGACAGTCACTCTTTAATCATTAAGAAGTGCTACTATAGTCTCTTGGTCATAGAATCTTTGTTGCTGGGATGCTGGAGCTTGAGGAGAGAGAAATGTTGCAGTGTTAACTTAATCAGCACTTGCTTCAAGAATGTTTTTAGACTATTAATTTTTTTCTTCAGGACAGAACTCCAGTTTCCTGAGAAAGGGAAAAGCTGAATTATCTGAAGTTGCTCTGTTCATGTTTGGCTTTTTTTTTTTTTATTTTGCCCTTTTTTCATGGCTGAGACAAACGTTTTATTTATCTGAAAAACACACAAGTCAGCAATATGCACATTCTGTTAAATTTCATTAGAAATGTACCTAATGTTTTGCAAGAGTTGGTGCTCATTCTGGCTCAGACTTAATTTCAAAATCTTAAAACTTCAAATTAAGCAAATGAAACCAGGAGGAATCCAGGAAGGAATATGGGTGAACCTGACAATTTTACTCCTTAATTTTTCACACTGATGTCCCATGTAAAGACCTTACACCAGTAATGTAATTTTCTTTTCTACTGGGGGTAGGGGAGAGAGCATGATCAGTGTTTGAATCATCTTAATTGCAACCATGGGTTTTTTTACTTCATGAAAGTACAAAACCTGTGTTTTTCTACAGAGAAACTTTCCTATAGTTGTATATGTATTTGTTGTATATGTATATATAAAACATTAATATTGGAATCCCTTTTTAATCTATAAAAACTCTTTTCTTTTTTGTTTCTCTTTGTTCAGTAATGAAATTTTAGTTGTTGTATTTGGTTAGCAGTGTCAGTCTTATGTAATTACAAGTCTTGTCCTGCAGTTGCAGGTTTTGCAAAATATGTATATACATGCATACTTACAGAGTAACTTTTCTAAGTTTCCATTATGAAGGTTCATTTTGATTGAAACCTAAATTTTAGATCCAGAGCTGAGCAGACTTTGTTTTACAAAGCATCTTCTTCAGCACACATCTAGGTTACGTTGTTTTAATTATAATAGTTCCACAACATACAGCTACTTCCTCTCTTCTTGTGTGAAGTTCTGCTCTGTGGAGAACTGGTTTGGAAGCCCATGCCTCTGATTTCCTTTAAGGAGAATTCAAAGTCTTAAGTTGGACCTGTTCTTGGCTTTACTGGAAGATCCATCAAACCCACACTTATTATATACCCTAATATTTCATATAAAGAAGAAATAGTAAGAAAGTAAGCAGAAAAGCAATTCAGGATGAGTGTATTTTATGCTGGGAAGAAAGTTGATGTGGTTTGTATTCAAAGTATTCTACAGAAACCCCTTTCGTCTGTTTTAATGTGTATATGAATTTTCTTTATCTAATAGTATTAAGATACCCAGACTTTACTTTGTTTTTCTGTGGCTAATTTAAAATAGCTTTTTTCTAAAGATAATTATGTTAATTTTAATTTGCTTCTAGATGTCTAAAAGCACCATGAGTGATGTTGATCCCTGTTTCTCTTTTACACATAAAAGACATAGAAAGGATCAGGCTTGTGATATTTTGCTTTTGTTTTATATTGGCTTTATGCTCAATATTTTCTTTAAACAGGGTCGCAGGGCTGTTAAAGCAGGACATTATGCCTCTTGTCAGGAAGCTAAAGAAGAAATCAAGGTAACTTTCCAAAATATTTTTCTCATTTAAAAAACAAACTAATTTACCCCACCATATTTGGTATAGTTCAATATCTTCAGGAATAGTGTCAAACTGATTTCTTTATTTGCTTGGGAGAGGTAATGGGTGGTGAAGACAAATATGCAAATGTATGTTATCTTTATTTTATATCTACTAATATTTACCTGACTCCTAGAGGCATTCTGAAAACGTTTCTCAACGACCACTTCATGTGGAGGTTCTTCATGCTGATGTTATGGCTCACCAGAAGTTTGCCTTACGCCTGGGTTCTTGGCTGAACAAACTCATGAGCTACTCAAGTAAGCATAGCTGATTTTTGTTACAATAATGCCATGTTGCTATTTGAATGACTAATTGTCTCAAAAATATCTTTAGCAGTGTTATATAGATAGTCTCTTATTAAAATACTTTCATGTTCCTCCTTATTAGTAAGTAAATAATACAGTAATATGGGTGGTTATACCCATCAGTGTGGTCATGGACAGCAGTACTTTTCTGTTCCTTCATGCGAAAATAGAGGTCTTTCCCTGCTTGAGCTCTCTCTTCTAGAAGTTTTATTATCCTTGGTTTCAGCATCATGTGCCCTATTTTAGTGACTTCTTTGCTCTCCTTAGTGCTGGTGGAAATCTGCAGAACATGTCCATTAGTGAAAGCATATATCCTCTGCCTGAATTAATTTCTGCTTCAGGTTTGATAGCAGCGATTAATTAGACGGTGTCAGTAAAACAAGCAAACAAAAGCCTTAATTTGAAAACTTGTACAGTAGTGTTACCATAAAAGTTGGTTGGAGAAACTCTCTAAGACTCAAGGTGGAGTTTCAGAAAGCAGCATTCTTTACTGCAGCACTGGGTGCACACACAAATAGCTTCACAAAGGTGAGTGCACCGGTTACTTGCCAGCAGCAGCTGTATATTTAGCATACTCATGCATATTTACAGTGTTTCCATGAACTAATCATAATATTTACATCCTAATTAAGCATGTGCTTTCTTGCTAAGTGGGAGTCTCTGGTGGTCACTGATAGTCTGCCTCACTGTGTTTACTGAATGACCTCAGTGCTTGCGCACACTCACGAGGTCCTAGTGCTGAGTTAGCAGTTGGTGTGTCCTTGCTTCTGTTCTGTTCCAGTCTCACTCCACGTTGGGCACCGCTCTGCTATCTTGAAGGCTGGCATCCTTGGTCTTATTTACTGTCTCCTTACTTGTTATCAGTCCTGTGATGTTCCTTCCCCCACCAGCTGAACATTCCTTTCTCTCTATGTGTTAGTAAGTTAGAAAAGTTTGGTCTATTCTACTATGTTAAAGGCACGCACACTATTGTTAGTTTGAAATTTAAGCCTACAGTAGTGTAAAGTCTATTTTAAACTTTCAAACGTTGTGGTGTTTGATGCTCGTAATTTTAAAGAAGACTTCTGAATCAAATTTGGATTTCTATTTGTCATGCCTATGTTTTTCCAAACTAAAGCCATGGTAAAATTTCTTTTCACTGTACAAATATGCAGAGATTAAACTCACTGCTTATCCTCCTTTTTGATAGGGTAAATCTGAGAATCTGCTTTAGTCTCTTTTGTAGCTTGGGTAATAGAGAGAATTTTTTTTTTTTCCTGAACATTTACTTTCCGTTCTTTCCCTTGAAATACATCAGAATTATACCTTTTTGTGTATTATAAAGGTAAATTATACCTTTTTGTAATTCTTTACAAGATTTTACAGATTTTAGCTTTCTGTTCTTTTCAGCTTTGTATTTATTTCATTAATGGTATTTTCTTGCTCTTCTGCAGGCAGTTCTTGTCTTTGGTACACTTTTTTTTTGACTGTGTGGTTTATTTCATGGTTTCTAGTGAAAGTTTGATTTTTATCCACAGATTTTCCCTAGATAATTTTTCTTATTATTTTCAATTTTATGAGATTACTCTATTTAAAACACCCGCTGACAACTGATTATTCAGCTGTTGTCTCTGTGTGAATATAGACAAGCCAGTGTCAGTGCCCCCAGCAAATCCCCCAAATTTTAGTGGTTTAAGCATTACCTTTTTATCTGATTAGATAAGCTAAAACTAAAAGAGGGGTCTCCCTTGTTAGGTGCAGCATTTTGGGTTAGGAAATTCTTACAGGTTAACTGATAGTTTAATATGTTTTATGAGACCCTTAAAGAACAAAGATTGAAATCCAGCTCCTGTCCTTGTTCTTCTGGATTATATGTATGTGGATGCCTTGAGGAGCCTGATGTTCTGTACTCAGCTGAAACTTTTTTTGTGATCTAGTGATTCCTGTTCTTTTCCTGGTTTTGCTTCAAGTGGTAGAACATGGATCAAGAAGAATTCAATACTATTTATTTCCAGGTTGTCAGGGACTTGATACATGATGCTGCACTTTCCCAGTGGAAGTTAGTAATGTAAGAGCTTATTTCTGAATGTTAGTAACCAGTGGGTGACTCTGATATGTTGATCCCCAAAATTGCTTCAGCAAGTACTCTTTCTACTGATAGGTGCAAGAAAATATAAAAATATGTTCTGAAGTTCTGCAAAAGACTGACTTTCAGGGCCCAAAGCAGGACAATACACTTGCTTAGCCTGTGTGTTTCTGTGCTGCGAAGTGAACTCTTCTTATGGATCTGCTTTGCAAAGCTGCCTAAATGCTTTTCATTTTAAAATACTTTTCTGCATCACTGGATTATTAAATAAAGTAGGTAAGAATAATAGGAAGAAATTAGTAAGGAGAGAGTATGTGGGTGTATGTTCACTGAGAAAAAATACTGTTAAAGAATAATTCAATACTGATGTGCCTGCTTTGATTTCTTGTTCTTAAAGAACAGATTTCTGTAGTTCTCATTTTGGTGCCTCTTGTAACTTACTGAAGCATTCTTGTACAAATGAGTGGTTTTATCCCTATAGGTGACTTTCGCCAGATCTTTTGTCAAATATGTCTCAAAGAAGAAGCTGGATCTGAAAAGCCGTGCTTCATAAGCAAGTTGATGCTATGGGATGCAAAACTTCATAAAGGTTTGTGTATCCATGTTGCTATTAACTATGAAGAGGCAAATTAGTTTTTCGAGCAACAAAGATGTAAAAGCAAATAAGTGCTATGCAAGTGGAGTTACATTTCTTCATAGTTCTTATATTGTGGTTCTAATACAGCCTTTATTTTTATGGCTGAGATAATTGATATTTTGGTTATGTATTTGCCTCTTCATTTTTTCTTGCTTTATATATTTTGAAGACTCTTTTCACAAGGTATAACCTGCCTATGAGTGACTTGATGCTTACCCTGTGTTTTAAATACATACCAATAAAGGTTAAAAATAGAAAAAAGATATTAATAACTTTGTTAATATACTTTGTAACAATTTCAAGGCTTTTAAGGATTTTAGTTTGATAATCTATTCCTCTTTTCCACAAAAGTCTGCATCTTAGTACAATAAAGTATGCGCATTGTATTGGTTCTTCACAGGGGCAAGGAAGGTTCTTCATGAACTTATCTTCAGTAGTTTTTTCATGGAAATGGAATACAAAAAACTTTTTGCTGTGGAATTTGTGAAAGTAAGTGGTTACTTGTTTCTTATGTTATGAATTTTTATTAGCTTTGTAAAATTTCCCCTAAACCTGAAAACTGTTTCAGTGTAAATAATGGATTTTCAACAAGCAGAGCTTCAACTTGTGCAGATTTTAATAGTGTGTTAATTTCAATGTTGTTGGTTCATTCTTTAGGTATTTGTGCTTGTTTTGAATGCAGTATTGTTAGTATTCTGTGTATCCTTTGAAATGGCAGATAAACTGAAAACAATCTTTCTTTTTAAAACATAGATACAATAGTTAAGAAATAGTCAAAACATAAGACCAAGTGTTTTCTGTTATAGGGTGAGACTCTTTAATCCTGATAAAGGTCACTGACACTTCATGGTTTTCTCTGGACTGAAACAAAGCAATCAAAGGCTTAACATCAGTCATTGTATACACCTTTTCTAGACAGCTGTGAATAACTTTACATGAAAGTCATTGCAGGAGGAACACTTGTTTTAAGTTAATGTCTCTATCAGTCCTTTTTTCAGATATTTAATTCTTTTATTGGGGAAGATGCTTGTAGGAGGAAAAATATTTTGGTTCCAATCTATCAGAACAGTTAAACTTGTGCTTATCTTTAGTATTAAGGCAGTGGGGCACAAATTTAATTGCTTTGGTGCATTGAGGACATTGTGCCATTTTTGTTTGAACTGCTTCTATTAGAAAAGAAGGACATTGACATATAATTCTTGCAAATAAAAATAAATGTTTTTAACTAACACTTGTTTTACCCACTGGATTTTCCCTGATGTTCTCTCTTTCTAGTATTACAAGGCACTGCAAAAAGAATACATCAGTGATGATCACGACAGAGTTCTCTCTGTGACAGCACTCTCGGTTCAGATGTTCACTGTACCTACTCTGGTACGTACAACCTGTGTTAGCTAGAAATGTAAAATGAATGTGAGAATTGCTAGCCTTTGCAGGCTGCTGTACTTGGCAGAGAGGCTTTATGCATTGCTGAGTTGAAAATGAATGATGTTAGGATTTGTTAAGGCTCATATGTAAGCAGGAGCTGGAGTTTATGTGAAAATCCATAATAAAGGATAGCGAGAATGCAAATAAATTTTAGGCAGCATCATTCTCTGCATTAAGTATCCATTTACTGTTCACATTTACCTTCTTAGATAAATCTAAAAACGTGGGGGGAGAGGACAAAGAAATGGTTAAGTGTCTATTTCTGGGGGTTAAATATATTAAATCTTGTCAGGACGGAATCATACCTGTAGGTTTTTAAAGGTTACATGTTTCTTGCCTGAAATACTGATGTAAAAGTCCTTTTCTACATGATCTTTCTAGAAAAAAAATAGCATGTCTGTTACGTTGAAGCTGTCAGAGTGAACAAACATGCTAAGTTGATAGAAATTGTGTTCATAAATAATAAATACCATGGGAGTTTTTGTAGCTTGGAGTCTTTACAAGTGCTTTAAGTAATTTCTGATAAAAAAGACTGGATTCAAATTAAAAAATAGGAAGGAAAATGTATAATGTTCTTCTTCCAGGCCCGGCATCTTATTGAAGAGCAAAACGTAATCACCACCATTACAGAGACACTCCTAGAAGTGCTTCCAGAGTACCTAGACAAAAATGACAAGTTCAACTTCCAAGGTTACAGTCAGGACAAACTGAACCGGGTATATGCAGTAATATATGACCTCAGGTAAGTGTAAAGCTGAGAAGCTAGAGCAATTCTTAAAAACATAAACGATAGGATGAAGTGTTTCAATTCAGGAATTTGTTGATAAAACTGCTTTAAAAACAAACCTCAAACCAAACCCCTCAAAAAACACACATGAAACTTCAATGTTATATTTTGATGGAAACTTAAAATGTTCACTTACAAAAATTATATTCTATAAAGACAATTTTTGATGTTTTTCACTGATACTGTTCTGTGTAACAATTGCTTTAATCAACAAAATATATCTTCTGTAAGACTGCATGGGAAATTTGACTTCTATTCATTATCATTCTGGGAAAGCTGTATAATCCTCATCTGCATAGCATTGTCCACTCTTACAGGTCTCAAATCACACTAATAAACTGAATAATGTAGAAGCAAACAACCCCAAATGGCTTGGAATTAAAAAATCTGTTAGTTTCAAATGATGGAGTGGCACCAAGCAACTCTGGTGTTTGGTGAAAATTCTAAAGGGAGTTTGAGATGGGGAGGGTGATGTAATGTGATGATGCAGTTGATTGTTTTAATAGAAAGGCCACTTTAAATACAAGCATAAACAGAAGTTAAGTCTGAGTAAAAGATGATAATGTTTTCTTTGGGGACAGGTATGTCTTAGTCAGCAAGCCCACTTTATGGACAGATCGTCTGAGGGAGCGGTTTTTAGATGGATTTGTTTCTTTCCTAAGGATTCTAACTTGCATGCAGGTACAACACATTTAAATTATTTCTTTCTAATATGCTGTTATAAAGAAATTACAGCATTTCTTTTGCTCATCGTTTTGTCCATAGCGATAATAAGGAATATAATATTGCAATTATCATAAATTCTTTAGTCCCTGTCCTGGGTGGGTAAAAAGTGATGTTTACTTTGTAAAATTAATATTCATCAATTTTAGCTACGTGTACCTGAACAACCTATACTTCACCGTTTATTCGTGGGATTTTGTGGTGTTTTAAGCCTATGATCACTGATTTAGCTTGAATGTTTTGTGGCATCTCCATTTCAGGGAATGGAAGAGATAAAAAGACAGATTGGTCAGCACATTGAGGTGGACCCTGACTGGGAAGCAGCTATTGCTATACAGATGCAGCTCAAGAACATTCTTTTGATGTTCCAGGAGTGGTGTGCCTGTGATGTAAGTATATCAATTGTCTGGGATTCGTACATGTGTGCCTTTTGTGAATATTCCTGAGTGCTTTTTTAAATAGCAGCTTTTTAAAGCAGCTCAGTATTGTTCAATACAGATCTCCACAAAAAATGATTCTGAAAGAATTAATCTGCAGTGTGATAAAGAGAGAAGGGATCTCAGAAGAATATATTCCTCTAGCTAACAAAGCTGCACAGGGTGTCAGGCAAATCATGAAGAGAAAATACTTCACATAGTTCAAGATTCTGAGAATTAGGTTCATGGTGTCACTGTCAAGTTTTAGAGTTTTGAAGCATATGATGTTAATTTTTAATTGCAAAAGTGCACTGCAGAAACTGCACAGATTGGGTAATTGCACTCTCAGTTGTCTTAATCAGTGCTGGAGCTCATCTCTCTGCTGGGGGAAGGGAAGAAATTGTACAATTTGTTAACTTAGAGACATTTTGATTTGGATTGTTTTGGTTTGCTTTTTCCCACTAGGAGAGAAAGGAAGAACTACAGCAGTACAGGAGCTTCTTGATACAATTTGGGGTGCAAACTATGCAAAGTAGTAAAATATTGCAGCTTAAATAAGAACATAGATTTTTAGAGCGTTTGACAGAGCAGCTTTTTGGAACAGAAGCATATGCTCAGTTAGTTTTAATGGATGCTCCTCTGCTCCACTCCAGTACTTCTCTGTATTAAAAAACAGAGTAGTAATTATATTGTGGGTTTTTACTAACTGTTTATGCCATCAGAAAAAAACAAGTGAGGAATTTTAGTACATATGTATGATTTTTAAGTATAACACCTTGCATTTATTTTAAATTCCAGGAAGAGCTGTTGCTCAGGGCCTACAGAGAATGTCATAAAGCTGTGATGAGGTGCAGCACAAATGGCCGTTCACGGGAAAAGACGGTGTTTCACTTGTGTGGCCACACTCTAGAGAGCAGACCCTACAGAGTGTCTGCAGATCCTGTCAGCATACATTTACCACTGTCTAGAACTCTTGCTGGTAGGTGATGTGTTCTGCTTTGATTGCTGTTTGAATTATGTTTATCATCAATATCTATTTCTTTACTCTAGAAAACATTTAGATTGAGTTTCATAGATCATTTGCTCTCTGACTTTGATATTCTCGTGTTCAGGCAACCCTGTCCCTGGATGTCCCATTAAGGGAAAGGTTTTCTCAAAAAACGTTTGCCATGGAGGTTGGAGGACATTTTTCTAAACAGGAGAGAGTAAGGCGAGAAGGAAGTTTCATGTTCTAATGAGATCTTCAGTTTTCTCTGGACTATTTGAATTTGTGTAGTTCTATTTCTACCTTTTTTGTCAAAATGAATGTTATTTGTTGTTGTAGCTTAGATTTATTTTCCAACCACATGTATTTAAGGACTGTTAAAATGCTCCTCCAAAAAGGCATGTTTGCAGCATGCCAGGGCAGATTTCCTTTCAGAATACAAAGGACCACAGCAGTGGTGATCGCTGCTGTAAAATACAAATGAAATTGTGTGCTATTGTTAAGCTGTAGATTCTTTATCAAATTATTTGATAACAAGATACCATCTATTAAGCCTTATAGTCTTGAAATTTAGTTATTACTGACATACGATTTAAATGCAAGATTTTGCTAATACTATATAATATCTCAATTCAAATGGTTTTAATGAATTCATTAAATTAATATGTTCATAATAAGGCACGTTGTAAGACTGGTAAGAACTGTTGTGATAATGTAAGAGATCTATTTAAAAAAACCCCAGCATAACAAGTCTTTCCTAAATAAACTTTGACTTTTTTTTCCTGTAATTTTCTGAGTTGTAGACGATTTAGCTAACATTTAGAATGGGCTGGAGGAGAAACTGTACTGATTTTGATTTTCTAATTCTTTTCCTATTGGTTTTGTAGGCCTTCATGTACGATTAAGCAAGACTGGGACCATTTCAAGATTACATGAGTTTGTTTCTCCTGTAAGATTTTTCTTTCCTTTTCTTCTCCCTCCTCCTCCCCACTTCCAAATACTTCTAATGATTAATACTGTGGTAAAGAAAAAACCCTCAGATTCTGTCCTGTAACTCTTATGGCATGCACACAAGTTATTTTGCAGCTGACAATGTGTCTTTGTTCATTAGTAGTTAGGCTTTTAAAATCACTGACTGACTCTTGCTTATTTTATTTTTATTTCTAGGAAGAATTTCAAGTGGAGCTGCTGATAGAATATCCTTTGCGATGTCTTGTCTTGGTTGCTCAGGTTGCTGCAGAGATGTGGAGAAGGAATGGGCTCTCCCTGATAAGCCAGGTACAATCTACACAATATTCAGTACTGAGTAGGTCCTACTGGTGAATGCAAGTGTTCCTCAGTAATGCTCCCAGTGGTGGTTTCATCCAGTTCAGAACGAGGTCATGGGGGGTCACTTCTATACTAATAGAAGAGTTTCTCAGTGGAAATTTAGATGACTTGGGTTTGTTTCCAGCTTCATCAATGGCTTTCCTCCCCATATTAGATAAGTATTTTAATCTCTTATGACTGTTTCTATTTTGGTTGCAAGAGTAAAGGAAGAGACTGCCTTTAAGTACTTGTATTTTGCCTGCTTTGGCTTCACTTTTTTTTTTTATGTATTTCTTTGGCAGCAGACATTCTTTGTGTTTATCTTTCACAGGACCCTTTGGTGATATCAAAATAAATATTGGTAGCCCCCTGTAGAGTAGTCCTTCTGAGAACTGGGGAGGGAGAAGGAGGATGTTTTGATTTTAATCAGTAGCAGCAATTATAATTATGTTGTCTTAGAAGGGGGTCTGAAAAAGTACAGCATGAGCTTTCCCTGGATGGGTGAAAAGATGTTTTTCAATTTCATCAAAGTACATGTCTGTTTGAAAGAAACACAGGACTTTCCAGTGTTTTATAATTTAAAAAAGCCTCAGACATTAACTGGTGCATGTTTGGTAGTGCATTCCTTTTTCTGCTTAAAATTTGTTTTCCTGTTTCTCAGGTATTCTATTATCAAGATGTTAAATGCAGAGAAGAGATGTATGATAAAGACATCATCATGCTCCAGGTATAGTCACTGCTTGCTTGACTCAAACTCTTCATGGCTTTTCTTTTAATTTTAATTAAATATGTATAATTATATTTTTTCCTTGGTAAAAGAGTATTTTTCATAATAAATGAAGAACTGTGATGGTAACTGGTGTTCATATGAGTTTGGGCTTTTTGATAGATAGGTGCATCTCTTATGGATCCAAACCAGTTTCTCCTGCTGATACTGCAGAGATATGAGCTTGCTGATGCTTTCAAAAGGATCAAGCCCACCAAAGATCAAGTAAGTGGCAAGTATTTCTGAGGACTGATTTCTTTGCTTTGAGTGTATGGAGCACTAATACAAAATGCTGGCTACTGTTGATTTTTATGACCACACTGAAAGTCGGTCAACACAGGACCTAGTGGGTAGATAAATGATTTTGTATTTGGCATTTGGAGAGGCTTACTCAAAATTAGCAAACAGGTTTTGCCCTCCTTGACCTTTATTTCACAGGGCATCTTTCAAAATCCACATAAATGACTTTTCCGTAGAATTCCTGTGTCTCAAGTAATTTTACGTGTTCTTATTTTGTCTGGGAGTTTCTTGGATTTTTGTGCTACTTATTGAGGCCTGAACTTCCATATAACACCTCATTCTAGATATATTTTTAGCTCTTGTTTCTTTTCCTGTTTGAATCTTGCACTTCAATTGCAGAATAAAGTCTCTTCTACAAGTACAGGCATTTTTTCCAGCTTGTTAGATTGGATGTTTCTTCTTACTATACAGTGCTTCAGTGAAGTGATACATCTGAATGTTGAGCTCAGAGTCATTTAATGTATTTTTCCTTCCTTTTTCTCTATTTTTTTTAACTAATTTCTCTAATTCTTGTAGGATTTGATCAAACAATGTAATGTGTTAATAGAAGAGATGCTACAGATTCTAATCTATGTTGTGGGTAAGTTTCATTTCTCTTTGTTGTTGTAGTAATGGATTATTACAGGCTTAATAACTTTAACATAGATGGTATGGGAAGACTACTGGAGAATTCCTATTTTAAATAGATGGTTTAGTAACTCAAGTATTTGTCAGCTGGGAGCAATAAGGATTGCATAGTATTAGATATCTTCATAATTGACTATTAAAGTAGAATATGAAGAGAAACTCAGTCTCAGTCCATTTTGTTAGGAAGCCAGACTAAAAGGCACTTTTCCTCTCAGACACTTAGGTTTCTGGCAAATGCAAACTTAGACTATGAAACATCTTAGCAGTAGCTTTACTTCTGTGCAAAATTCAGAATTGCTTTATAACTGTCATATTTGCCTTCCTTCTCCTTTGGTTCACTCTGGTAGGGGAAAGATATGTGCCTGGAGTGAGTAATGTGGCCAAAGAAGATGTTATCATGAGGGAAATCATTCATCTCTTATGTATTGAGCCAATGGCTCACAGTGCAATTACCAAGTCCTTGCCTGAAAATGTGAGTCCTGGTTTATTTACTTTTCTCCTCAATTTACTTTTTCTTAAGTCTTTCTCTTCTTTAGCTTCCATGTCCTTATATGGAAGTGTTTTATTTCTGATATAAAGCTCAAATGTTGGTTTTAGAATTACAATATAGCATGACAAAGGGGCTTACACACCTTACTGATGTAAAGGTAAATGTCATGGATTCAAGTATGGTCTAATCTGAAAAGCCTTGTGAAGGGGTTGTGCTTTTTGATGAAGAGGAGAAAGGTTTGGGAATATTCAGCTGTACTTCTCCAACATTCAAAAAGAAAAATTTAAAAATTATTTTATCTTTTGGCCCTTTAAGACCCTGCAGCTGGATTCCATTCTGCCTTGTGTACCATTAATAAATCCGACTGTGTAAATTTTGGTCACTTAATCCTAGGCAGGTCCATTGGAAATCAAGTGTTGTACAGGTCTATTTGAAAGCACGGGTTTCCTTGCCATTCTATTCCAATTTAAAATTCAAGCAAAGGAGAGTGATGTGGATTAGAAGCTATCGCATGGGCAAGTTTTCAGGGCTGGCAATCAGTGCAAAAAACCCTTCAGTTTTATTGTAAATTAAATAGCTTGGAATATTATCAGAAACCAATAATGGATGATCCACATTCAGTGGGTCAAGAGGCTGAAACTCTGATTTTCCGTCCACTGGGGTTGGGTACTGCACTGCTTTGTTCCCTGAGATGAGCTGTGTTATAAATAAAATTTTACAAGATTAAATGAAAGTATTATCTGTCTTTGGTGCTTCCTTGTAACTTGTCTGTTATGAATATCTGCTTTCTGAATAACAGTGGGCAAAATATATTAATTCATTAATAAACCAAAAATCTGTACGTCTATTTTTGTTACACCTAGCATAAGACTGAAGATATTTGAGTCATTGTGTATTTATCCCAAACTAAATTTTTTACCAGGAGAACAATGAAACTGGCTTGGAGAACGTAATTGATAAAGTGGCTACATTTAAGTAAGTTCTTGATACTTGTTTTGTAAGTAGCTTGAATGTGAAATGAGATCTCTTGGATTATATGGATTAAACACACTGCGCTGCACAGTCTCAGCTAATACTTTGCTGTCTTGGAATATACTTTTAGATACAAATAGGAAAGAAAAGTATATGGAATATCCAAAGCTGCAGCATTTCTCCTTTTGCCTCCTCTTCAAATTCAGTTTGAGGGGTCTCAGATGTTTAGTAATCTCAGATCCTGATGGGAGATGCTTTGGAAGTTCATTATATTTCAAAGATGGTTGGGAGCATTAACAATTCATTGTACCTTTGACGATCACCAAGTAATTATTGGTTTAGGTGTTATTTAGTGGCTAACTTGCTGTAGCTTTCAGGTGGGAGGTAATTTTATTTAACATATAAGTAAATGCAAATATAGAACAATCAATTGAGCAGTTAAGGAAAAGCTAGCTGAAATGTATGCTATTTTAAACACAAAAATGTCTTGTAATTTTACTTGTATTAGTATACCTTATTTTAAATTTCATGAGTCTTGCTTATGTTTAATCAAGGGCAACTATAGGTGTAACTAGGAATTTTGCTATGGGAATTACCGGGAAGATTCAAAAAATGTCACTGGCTGGAAAGTAGTTGTTCATATTACTTGTTTTGTACCTTGGTTAAAGAAAGTAATGAATTTCATACAACAACATCTGATGTCTGAAATTCTAAGCCATAAAGTTAAAAAGAATTTACCTGTCAGAGGCCTGATAGGTAAATTGTGTTCCTACTTTGTTGACATTCAGATTGGTGCTGAACATACATATTAATATGTACATTATGAAATATTTCTCTGTAAGGAAACCAGGTGTGTCTGGCCATGGAGTTTATGAACTGAAAGATGAATGCTTGAAGGAGTTCAATATGTTCTTTTATCATTATACTAAGACCCAGCACAGCAAGGTAAGCACTGTAAGATTCACTCTCAAAGGCTGAAAAATAGTACATGCTTGTCAATATTTAAAGATTGTTGCTGAATCAAAGGAATTAATGGAATCTGAAGAAATTGATTCAGTGAAGAGTATATGTAGTATATATATATTCAGTGAAGAGTAACTTCAAAACTAAACTTCTAATGAAGATTGTTAATACAAATTGATGTGGTATGGTTTGTGTTAGTGTTTTCCCTATGGTGATTTCTGTATTAACTATGCTAATGCTAAGCACAAAATATCAGAATTATCTTTGAACTGGAAATGGCCAAACTTTGCTTTCATAACTCTTACTGAAGAAGCAAGTATGTCCATTTATTTATCTCTACTACAAATTGAAATGCAAAATGCGTATAGTTAAGCAAATGTCAGACAAGATTCTAGTTACATGACCAAGTATTGACTATATATCTTGCCACATTTCAAGTTTAGAGTTTCCTTATTGTTTCATTGTGTACTTCTGTAGAGATGCTGATATAACACCACTACTTCTTCTGCAGGCTGAACATACACAAAAGAAAAGAAGAAAACAAGAAAACAGAGATGAAGGTAAAAATTTGAATCTGATGGCTCAACAAATGTGATAATTCAGTAGTGTATGTAGTGCATATAAAGTGAGTTCTGGGGGATATGTCTTGTGCTCTCTACTTCTAACCTGCAGTCTTTGAGAAACCAATTTGTTAATATATTTGTTCATCTCTGCTTTCCAGCATTGCCACCACCTCCTCCTCCAGACTTCAGTCCTGCATTCAGCAACGTGGTGAGGATTCTGAACTGTGACGTTATGATGCACATACTGCGGACCATTCTTCAGAGAGCAGTAGAACTAGAAACCCACCTGTGGACTGAAGCTATGATCCAAATGGTATGGCTAGCATTAGTCTTCTTCCTGTGATCATTCCTGTGTGGAGCATGTTAACTGCATATAAGATCAAAATGTGTAAAGATAAACTTCAGTTTTGAATGATAAAAACTTACTTTTTGTCCCCAAACCTGTTTTTATAAATCTTACTGACAAAGGAAATATTTCTACTTATTTATCTCCGCTGTAAAATAAAGATGTGAAACATAATAGTATTAAATTTGGAATACTCTTCAGTTTTCTGGTTTGCTTCCCCCCTGTGTTGCCTCATCACTGAAACTGTTTCAATACGTAATTCTCCTTGCCACATCTTTTTCTTGAAACTTCATGTGCAAATAAGTCATCTTAAAGAAATTGTAGTTACTTCATCTTGTAAGCTGCAAAATCTCCAAATACATAAATGTCTTTGGGGCCTCAGTCATGAAATAATATGATTTTGTAAGTACTTACAGTGATTTAATGCCTTTCTAAAAAAAAAAAAAAAAGTAATTACTGATATTATTGAAGTTGGGGGTTTGTTTGGTTTTAAATATTTATAGGATCAGGACCTGGATTTACAGACTGGTTGAATTTTTGTTAATTAGAGTGCATAGATTATTTAATGCCTCACCAGCTAATCTTTGGATTATGGAATTAACCAAACATTCATAGATTTATATCACCAAAATGACAAGATTCATATGCTACTAATGTAAAGTGTATGTAACTGTTGATTTTAATGCAAATAATACAGAATCATAGACTAGTTACGGTTGGAAAGGGCCTTAAGATCATCTAGTTCCAACCCCCCTGCTGTGGGCAGGGATACCTCACACTAGACCATAGACCATGTTGCCCACGGCTCTGTCCAGCCTGGCCTTGAACAGGGATGGAGCATTTACCACTTTTCTGGGCAACCTGTTCGCAGTGCCTCACCACTCTCACTGTAAAGAACTACTCCTTTATATCTAACCTGAACTTCTTCCCTGTTTAAGTTTAAACCCTTTCTCCCTTGTCCTATTGCTACAGTCCCTGATGAAGAGTCCCTCTCCTTGTTAGCCCCCTTCAGATACTGGAAGGCTGCTATGAGGTCTCCATGCAGCCTTCTCTTCTCCAGGCTGAACATCCCCAGCTTTCTCAGCTTGTCTTCATATGAGAGGTGCTTCAGCCTCCTTATCATCCTTGTGGCCCTTCTCTGGACTAGCTCCAGAAGTTCCGTGTCCTTCTTACATTGAGGACACCAGAACTGCACACAATATTCCAATTGGGGTCTCATGAGAGAGAGCAGAGGGGCAGGAAAATGCAGGATAACTCTATTGTGCATTATTATTTTACTTTCCAGGTGTAATCTCTGCACTTTTTCTCATTTCTGTTTTATCATGGACACAATCAGCATATAGTATATAAACATCCTTATTTTATATGCCAGTTTGAGATTTACTATTTTTCTCCTTTTTCAGGTGCTTCATCTGCTTTCTTTAGGGTTACTAGAAGAGAAACAGCAGTTACAGAAGTCTCCAGAAGAAGAAGTAACCTTTGATTTTTATCACAAAGCAACACGTATGTTTCCTTTTCTTCAAAAGGGCAAAGTAAATTAGGCTAATTTGATTTTATAAGCATGAAAATAAACTAGAAGAAAGTATTCAGTAATTTTAGTCAGAAAGGGTTTACTTTTTGCTATAGAATTAAAAACCGCTGAAAGATTTGTTTATTTATTAATTTTAATAATCAAGAAACCATGTTTGGACTAGCTTCCTTTGTTCCCAACTGCCAGATATGTTGAAGAGATGTGCATCTTTTTGAAAGAAATAGAAAAGTAATTCTAGTGTTATGTTAGATAACTGCAAATAGTTCTGCTTTTCAACAATATTACTGACATGGAAACTAAGAACTCTTTGAAAAATGACAGTGGATTTAAGTGAACTACCTCCATATTTTGTACTCCTGAACTGTGTAATTATTGATTTATCTGCAAGTTAAAGTCTTTTACTATGGTAGTGGTAACAGAAGCAAAACTTAGTGGCTATGAAGTGTGCTTTTTTCTTTTTCTTTACTTTTCCAAATTCCTACCGAACACTTCCTAATCTTACATTCAAGATTAGTGAGTGGGAGTTTGAGTCTACATTTTCTAGATAATCTTCAATCTTACCTAGAGTTTCTGCTTCACTGTGTAAGGATAAATTAAAAAAAAAATAATAATCTATTATCAAGCTAAACATAATTGACATTTGAGAGATGAAACAGAGATAAGAGTTGTGAAGTAAAACCACAGAATTGTAGAATTGTTTAGGTTGGAAAAGACACTTGTAAGATGGAGTACAACCATTAACCTAGCGCTGCCAAGTCTACCACTAAGCTGTGTCCCTAAGTACCACGTCTGCATGTCTCTTAAATACCTCCTACATACTAAATTCATGCTGAACTGCCTTTATTTAGCTTTTAAAAAGTGTTGTGTAAAGAGGTATCACTGAGTTTGAAAAACACTCCGCTTTCACTTTTTTTTATTACTGAACAAGGGAGAAATACTGTCATCACACTGAACATATTTCTGTTTTAGAAGCTTCATGTCAGCTATAGGAGTACACTAAAAGAGAAACGTTAGAGAATTCTTTGTCAACTTTAGTTCTGCATAACTAGAAAAAACAAAGCCCCATTTATACATAAGGGATGCGAAAACAATCAGTATTTTTGTAGGAAAACTTACTGATACGTGATTAAAAATAAATATTGGTTTTTTGTAATTTGTCTCACTTCTAAAAATGTGCAAATTAATTTCAAATGGAAAGCAATGCAAAAAAGATGTAACTGAAGAGAATGTCTCCATTTTAAAGCATGCTTTGTGCTTGTGGCCTAGAATGTTACGAGCTTTTACCAATGTGTGAGGAAGTAAATAATCACTGTAATTATATATATATCTTTTTTAAAAATAGAAATAAGCTTGTACACACTAAGCTGTTAGCAAACTTAAGCTATAAGAGCTTTACTGCCTCTCATTGAAGCAAAAGGCAGTTCTGGTTTTGTCTGTATTTCTGCTCTTGGCACTTGCAAAAATTGTTGATCTACAAGCGGAAAAGGTCATTTAACCAGACTAAACAGATGAAATTAAAACAGAAATGTAACTACACAGGTTTTGTTCACGTTTGTGTGTTATAGTTAGCAATATTTTAAGACATGCACATTATTGTAAATAGATTAAAACGTTGATGGGGTTTTTTTTTTTCCTCTGAAGACCCATGCTTTTCTATTGTTTTCACCTTTGTAAAGGAATGGGAAGCTCGGCCTTGAATGCTGTGAGTGTGTTAACGCTTCTGGAAAGATTAAAAAGAGTTCCTCAGTTAGAGGCTCAGAAGGACACAGTCAATTGGATACTGCAGGTACAGAAGGGGGAGATAAGTATGATCTGAATTTAGTAATATAAAACGCTTTTATGAAGGATGTTATGATTCCTGCATATAACCCAGTGTTTACAGCTGCAATGATTTCTTGAGAAGCTTAATCTGTTGGAACATATCCCCTTCCATGTCACCCAGACAAGATTGTTTCTTGAATACTGCATTAACACTTGTAAGTCATTGTACTTGCTATTGTTACTTAAAAGTATTAGGTCATTTTTTGCTTAGATAACTCATTCCAGTAATTATGTTTTTATACATAAACTTTATTCCTCATATTTCTGTTGCAAAATAACAGCAAGTGGTAAATAAAAATTTACTTGGGAAAGCATATTTCAGGCTGCCTTTATTAAGACTTGAGATACATGAATCTGACTAATGGCCACACCGTACATTTGACCTGTGGAATTTTTCCATCCAGCTCCCTACCCATTACCCAGTAAGAGACAGGAAAAACTGCTAGAGCTGTGACACCTTCTCTAATGTAGGAGACTTCTGCTTAGCAGGACTACTACTATCCTGTTCCATTTTGGGCTGCTTGGTTTAGGTGACTTCTTGGTTTAAGAGGCAAACAGAATTCAGTGCTCTTGAAAAAGAGATTAAGAATCCATACCAGGGTTCCAAAACTATCCTCAGCTACTAAAATTGGACTGTCCTGCCTATTAGGGGGGGCAGGTTTGAAAGATTATTTTTTTTTTTCTCTTTTGGGAAGTTACTCTTCTAAAATTCTAAGGGCAAAAGTAAAAATGTACTTTAAAAAGTATATTTAACTTTTTTAATCATATATATAGTAAATGTGAAATATTTAATATTATCAAAACTTCAAGATGCTTATTAACGTAAGGATAGCTTGAGAAAGTAGTAAATTAAAATTGAAAGCTTAGGTTTAACTAACTGGGCGTACACTGGAAAGTTTTCTGTTCCAGATGTATATGGTTTTGCATGATTTTAGTGACTTATTTCTGTGGGATGATCCATGTCTCACCTGAAATAAGCTAGCAGTCTGTCCATTCTTCTTATGTGTAGATGCTTTAGTTGCTTAGCAGTATTAGTGCTGGAAGACCGGAAAACTTAGAAGAATGTTACTTTCCTTCATACAGAGCTGTGCTTGTCAGGTTTAGGATAGACAGCAGTGTTACAGGAGTACACATATTGTCTCAGTTAGATGGTTTTGTTATTTAGGTGTATGGCAGTTGGTTTCATCCACATAAAAATCTGAAAATCATGTGAAAGTAAATATCTTTATTCCTGTCTATGTTATAATAAGAGCTAAGTTGCATTTTAGTTTTGACAAGCTAAGTTGCAATTTAGTTTTGACATTTACGTCTCTATTCCTAGATGTTTGACACAGTGAAAAGATTGAGAGAAAAATCCAGTTTGACAACAGTAGCAGCTACATCAGGATCAGAAGCTACAAAAGGTGATGAGGTAATAATAAAAGAAAAAGTTCAGTGGAAGCTTTGTATTTAAGATTTTGAATAACTGTTTTCAAAAAGGTGCTTAAATTTTTACTTAAGATGATATTTAAAAAAATATTAATTTCTGATATTGCCTATGCATAGGATCTAGGTTCCAAGATCAATACTTTAAATAAATTCCTGGTAAGCATGTTTCATGGAATTATCAGCAGCTAGTGTGGTTTTTTTTGTACTTCCAAGTAAAGTGATACAACTGAGGGGGGTGATTAAGTAGTTAGTGTTGATTTCTTATCTTTATGGTTTGACCACTTTTCTATTATGTTGTCACTGTGTGATATTTAGAAATACAAATCCACTTAAAATGATGTCTTGTAATTTATGTGACCTACCAAGAGACTAATCTGCTTTACCTTGATCGTATAAAGACATAAGGCTTAGGTGATTATTCTGTCTGCGTATCAGTCTGTATGCCCTGCCCTCAAAATAACTTTTGAATCCAGTGGTCAACTGATGCAGGGAAATGGAGATTTCAAAGATTATTGCAGTCCCATGAGCAGTGGCCTTGGGGTTTTTTTGTGGGTTTATCTTTTATTTTTTTAAATCAGCAGCTGAATAGAAAAGAAGAATCCAATCCAAAGTAGACAGGCCAGTTTGCTCTTACACGTTATGTTTGGCAACAGCTCGCTGGCAAACAATCTCTTGGCTAGTTATTGTATGTGTAGCTCTAAACTTACCACAGCATATGCTGTGCTCCTCTTTGGAGAAAGGTGTCATATGATACCTGGTAAGGTAAGGGAACAAAAAGCAAAAGTCAGTTAAAAAATGAGACTGTCACAGTTTCACTACTTGTGGAGAAATTTGTTGTATTTCCTCAAAAAGCAATGGTACTGTGAATGGAAGCAATGTATATAATGTTGAATTTGTGCCTTATGTAATTGAATATGAGGAGTTAGGCTCTATATTTTAATTCTTACCTGTGTTTTTTTAATTCTACATTTCCAAAGTATAGAAATATTTTTTAGATTTTGAAAACATTATAGATGAGGAAATATACTGGGAGAAGAATAGTTTTCCGAACTATAATAAAGAACTGGGGCAAGTACAATCCTCAGATGCATAAAATGCTGCCAGAAAAATGCAGGAACAGTGTGTTTGCTGTGTCATTCATAGACAGTTCAAGATAAAATGTTCTTGAATTCCTGTAAGGGAAATACGGGTTACTCAGTAGGGATTTCACTTATGGGGAGAATAACAGACCTCTGGTGGAGTCTTGTGATGTTCACCTCACTAAAGTTTCTTAAGACCAGACAATTAAAATGGATCAGGTATTATTGATCTTGTCTTTGGGCAAGGGGCTGTACTAGTGGCCTTTTGTAGACCCCTCAAAATCTCTTTTTTTTTTTTTTTTTTTTTCTGATGAGGTTAATGAAACTAGTGAACATCGAAGAGTTCAGTTTTACATTTTTCAGATAGCAGTTAACTTTTTATTTCTTATCAGTAAAGTGTTGTCAGTAGTTAGAATGCATGAAGTTGGGCAAAGATGCTTTTAATTTTCTGATGTTCTCTGTTGCCTGTGATTTCTTTATTCTCTTTTATTATAAGACACAGAGCACTCAGGATAAAGAGAAAGCGGAGCGGAAGAGAAAGGCAGAAGCAGCTAGGTTGCACCGTCAGAAGATAATGGCTCAGATGTCTGCACTACAGAGGAATTTCATTGAAACCCATAAGCTGCTGTACGAGAACACACTGGAGGCACAGGGGAAAGAAGATGCTATTATGGAGGAAGAAAGGTAATTAAAAACAGATATCCAGAGTTCTGGCAGGAATTGTTCATTACCTGCTATGTAAGTTCATTATGCTACATAAAGATGTTGAAAGTACATTGAAGGGACAGGCTTGCAGACTATCATGTGTATGTTCACTTTGTAGAGCAGCATAAGAGGAACAATAAGCAAATTAATTATTTCTTCAAAAGGTGGATAATTTATATTGCTTAACATTTGGAAAAAAAAAAGTCATTAGAAAGCTGCTGAGTTGACAACACTGTAATTTCAGAGGTATTGTCCTAATGTCTAACTTATATGAAAATTTAAGTATTTAATTTGGAAAGAATCTGAAAGCTAATATGCCTTAAGGTTAAGTTGCAATGAAGAAAATTCTTCGTGTAGCTCAAGTTGCTGATATTTCTATTCGTTAGTTTCCACAATTTAATTGCATTCTGGAGACGTTTGGTTTATATTGGCTATAATATTGTTGATATTGATTGCTCTTGTTCTAGAGCTGCTTCAACAATATTGTATACTTAGTACAACTCACAATTTTGATCTAACTTGGGCTGCACAAGAATAAGCAGGAAAATAGGAACATCTTCTGGAAAAAAAAGTAAAGATCACTTCTGTGTTCTTTGATCTGTATTAAATTGTGTTCTATAAATCATTGTTAAACTCTGGAATAAGGAATAATTAAGAAATACATGGAAGCTTATTGGATCACAAAGTATTGAATTAAGGTATTGGCATTCATCTTCATTATGCTTTCTTTAAGAATGGGAAACAATTTCAATTTGTCTGTAAGATTAAAGATGTTTAATCCAATCTACCTTAAATACAGCTTTCTGAGTTTCCTGCTGTTTGACTCCATTCCATTGTGTTATTCCATGTTAGCTGGCTTCCACTTTTTTTACAGAGGATTGCATTTTAGTGAGGATTGAGATGTTTCTTCATTTTTTGGTCATCATTTGGTTTTCTAAAGCACTTTGGTATAAAACCAGAAATGATGGAAGCATATGACATTGTTAGATGCCTGGAAGAATAAGTTTATTTAGAAAAAAGCCATCTGATTATTTTATATCTGTGTCACTTATGATCTTACAGCATGTCTTCAGCAATTGATTACTCCAAAATTGCTTTGGGTCCCAAACGAGGTCCATCTGTTGCTGAGAAAGAAGTTCTGACCTGTATTCTTTGTCAGGAGGAGCAGGAAGTGAAGTTAGAAAGTGCTGCCATGGTATTATCTGCCTGTGTCCAGAAATCAACTGCCTTAACTCAGAATAGGAGCAGAATTATTGAACTCTCAGGAGGTACGTGAGCTTTCTTCTTTTAGACCACAGGCAGTTCTGTACCTAGAGCGTGTACACCTCTTGAACCTAATTAAACTCTGTATTCAGTCACATTGCTTAAATGGCTTACCCTACTTAGTGAGAAGAAAGTGAAAATTTTTAAATTGTTCTAAAATCCATACTGTAAACCTCAAAAATGGGAAGTATATGAAGATTTTGATTTGTTCCTGGGAAATAATACAAACACGAGAGTTAGAATTGCATAATGGCATATTGGTAGCAGGAAACACAGAGACCAATGAGAACTTATTTTGTAAGTAACAGTTGCTTAAACACGAGAGAGATTTTGATCAGTTACTTGAGGGAAAGAAAGAAAAGAGAAAAACTTAAGTACTCGCTATCTTTTTGAAAAGGAAAATTATTAATCATTGAAGATCAGATGCTTGATGGCTGTTAACTATAGAGAAATCCAGTCCAGAACAGGGTAAGAGAAGTTGAAATAATATTTAGCTTAAGAAGGACAAACAAGTATTTGTCTTTAAAATAAACAAACAAAAACCAAACAAACAAAACCCCCAAACCTAAAACCCAACAAAAAGTGAAATGAGAATGTAATTCGGGTGATAGTAATTATTAGTAGTTCATAAGACAATATGAAAAATAAAGACAAGACTGTAAAGCATAAGAAATGTCAAGAATGGGTTTGTCAAGAAAGGAACTTAGCAAGCCACCTGCATAACTGGTTTTGTAGGTGAGGACAAGGTTAGTTAATTTATTTTCATGTTTATTAGAACTTTTGGCTGTGTCCTACTCAATACATAGCATATAGTTTTACCAAGTTGATTCACTTAGTAAGATGCTTTGTGTTTCCTCCTCTGTATCATTAACAAATCCTGAATCATCGTAGACCCAGGACAGACTCCTACAGAATCCTGTTTGATCCATTTTTCTTTTTAACAGTGAACTACTGATAATGGCAATTTTGAGTCAGCCATATAGAATTTTTATCTAGGCCATGTACTAATTGCATCCTTTTTCTTTACCCCCCCCCACCTGCGCCCCCTTCTGTGCTACTCGGAAGTACACATTAAGTTCTATGCTCTTGTAGTCAGATACTTGTAAGCTTTCTGCAGTGACATGTTGGGCTACTGAAAAAAGGTGGGAATGAAGTTCCTTTTCCTAAAGCCACTTCTGGGTATTATTTATAGGACTTACTCTCTACTGCATGGCCCTCTGCAGCTCATCAGGTAGAAGCAGGCCTGTAACAGATTTTCTTTGAAGATCCAGTAAGTGGAAAAGGTTTTTTCCCAAAGCAGAAGTGCAGATAGCGGCAAATTAGTGTTATACCAAGGTTCGCTTTCTTCTTTCAGTCTCCATTTGACTTAAAGTTGCTTCAGCTGCTGTGAAATAGAATTCTATGTTCAGTGCAATTTGGGTGCTAGGTTTCTAGGTACACCATTACATTTTCATAACATTTTTGCTGTTAAAAATTATACAAGAATAGTAAAAGATAGACTTGAGTTCGTTATTTGGCAGTGCTGTACATGTAAGTGCTTTGAAAATATATGGGGCTAGTTGGAAAAAAGACTAATTTTCCTTTCCCTTAGTAGTTTCATTTTCTTTCAGTTAAATATACAATAACAAATACGTTAAAAACTTCAGTGATAGCAAATCCAACCACAGAGCTACTGCAGTACTGAAGAATCATTTTCTTTACTTCTCTCTTTTAACCAATTTACTATTACTTTTGGACTCTTTGATCTTTTTCTTCCTCATTAGTGGAAAGCCTTCAGTAGTTTAAGTGGGCTCTGTCTTGTGATTACTTTGCTGAAGTATTGGTGTGGAAAAGCCAGCCAAATGGGATTGTAATGTGACTGTGCAAACTGAGAAAACAAAATCTGAAGGTTTGTTTTCTACGCACACTGTTGTTTGTTTCTGTTCATACTGATGGGAAGTTATGTTATTGTGCTGTCAGTAATTTCTTTCTGCTGTGTTTCCAGATACATTAGATCCTCTCTTCATGCACCCTGACTTACCTTGTGGGACCCACACAGGAAGCTGTGGTCATGTGATGCACGCAGCCTGCTGGCAGAAGTAAGGATGGGTTTTAGCAGCTTTTTAATGTGTTGTCATTTTGGGGTTTTCTGTTTAATCTATCTTCCAGAACATCTAAGTGCACACTGAAAACACAGGGGGAATGGCTTTAAACTGAAAAAGGGTAAATTCAGATTAGATATTAGGAAGAAATTCTTCCCTGTGAGGGTGCTGAGGCGCTGGCACAGGATGCCCAGAGAAGCTGTGGCTGCCCCATCCCTGGCAGTGTTCAAGGCCAGGTTGGACACAGGGGCTTGAAGCAACCTGCTCTAGTGGAAGGTGTCCCTGCTCATGGCAGAGGTGTTGGAACTGGATGATCTTTAAGGTCCCTTCCGACCCAAACCATTCTATGATTATCAACAGATAAAGAAAGTTGGGTCATATGATTGAGAGCTACTTAATATTGTTGTATGATATACACAGTCTCTTGAGGTGGTTGTTTGTACATGTGCTGTTTTAATTTTAAAAAAACTGACTAAACTTTTAGTGCTTAGCATTTACTTTTCTATGTGTGTGTATGTATATTCTCTAAAATAAAACATCGGTATACAACAAATAGGTGCACACACTTACAGTGATACAGAAGTATGTTCCTTGAGTATAATACATCTGCTCTTGGCAGATCCATCTACATCTGCGTAGATCTAAGTAGTGCAACATTGGAGCTCAGTTCCCTTGCTCTTTTTAAGAAAAGATGACTTGCTGTATGGGTAAATGGGATTAAAATGGACAACAGGCTCTTCTCATACGGGATGGCACAGAAGGTTTGAGTATAGTCTTTTATTTATTACATAACAGACATTCTAACTTACTAATACTCCTCCGAACGATGCCTGCCACACCTTTCTGGAGTATCTGCGCAGCCTAAAAATACTGCAAAATACTCTCTAAAACAGTATGAGTTCAAATGAATAGAATATCTTTGTAGTTGCCATGTATGAGGAAGAGGAGTTGCTTGCAAATACAGTGTTTGAATGTGGGAAAAATAAATGTATGGTTTTGTTGATTGTAACAGAATACTTTCCTAAATATTCTGTAATCATTAGAACTTCTGCAGGTGCCCCCACATGCACACTTTCTATTCTTACATAAATGGGATTGTAATTTTTCCCTTGAGATGTATGATTTAAAGCAAAACAAACAAACAAAAAAAACCAACCAAAAAGCCAGAAAAAAACCCCGAAAGCCCCAAAACCAACCAACCAAAAAGCCAACAACCCCCCCCCCCCCCCGAAAGACCCACACCCCCCCCCCCCCCCCGAAACCCAAAAACCAAAACCAAAGAAATTATTATCTTAGTGCAGAAGTTAGATAATTTCCTGTGTCTTTAAGGTCCTACACACCCAGTCTGAACATTAGTACAGATTTTAGTTGGTTGCATCCAGGCAAGATTTGAATGCTGGCTCTTTTTTTTCCTGATAGTACCACTGAGACATTAATAAAATTTGAGGGCTTACTGCATCCACTGAGGGGCCAAAATGATAATGAAACCTGTAACAAATTCATAGTTATTTCTTAGTTTCCTTTTTGAGTTTAAAATAGCTCAAGTGTGTTACTGTAATTTAAATTACCCTCTCTTCCTGTTAAAAGAAGGCAACAGTTTCATTGTCTAGTTATAAGGCTCAGTCATTAGCTGGTTATTCATTTGTGCAATGTTACTAGTAGCTTTTCCTAAAATTGAAGTATGTACAATACCCATTTCAAACTTACTGTAGTGAGTTGCTTATGAGTGATACTAGATACAATGCTTCATTGTATTGAAGATGTATAGAAAATTTAATTTAAGGACTGCTTGTCTGTAAAAGTAGTGAAATTAAAGGGATCCTAAAAGCAAGGAGAAGTTCTGTCATTTTGCATGAGTGTTATACCATGCATTTTTGCATGAGTTTATCTGCTCAAAGGTTTTATTTTATTTTCACATCCAAGCATGTGAAAGAGTTGTAAATCAAAGGAAAAGACTTGCTTGTTGCGTTGGATAGGTATTTGCTAGATAATAACACTTAATTACTTGAACATTTGGTCTCATGTCACATTTGAGCCATTCCACATTCTAGTAATTTCCTTTTCAACGTTGTAGGTACTTTGAAGCCATGCAGCTGAACTTCCGACAACGTCTGCATGTTGAACAGATATTTGACTTGGAGAATGGGGAGTATCTCTGTCCACTTTGCAAATCTCTGTGCAATACTGTGATTCCTATTGTTCCATTGCAGGCTCAGAAAATAAACAGGTAAATTACCAGATTGTATAGCCTTTAATTAAAATGAAAAGTAAAAATTACTTTTGGGCTGGCTGGCTTTTCATATTTTTTGGAAGGAAAACTTGGGCTGACCTTCCTAATCTGTATAGAAGGCTGCATGTTTTCTTGACTGACTGTTTTCTTGACTGTTCAGCCAAATATACTGGTTTGGGCAGATTTTTTTAAGTATTTTTGGATTGGCTGTTCCTTGGAGCTGATATCAAATGAGAGAGTACTTAGATCTAGTATTTAGCCTAACACTTCATTTTGTACTACTCGCTCAAAATTTACAAAGCCAACAGAACTGTGCAAATACGAAGTTAATATGTATTGATCTAAATATGTCTCTGTCTTTAAAGATAAGGTGATTCTTTGAGTGTTAAAGTAAAAACCTGCTTTCTATTTCTGTTTTCAGTGAGGATGCAGAGGCAGTAGCTCAAATTCTGTCACTGGCTAGGTGGCTGGAGATTATCATAGTCAGGATATCAGGCTACAGTGTGAAAAATGCTGAAGGTTTGTTATCTTAATTTTGAAGCTGTTCTGTGGGCTATCTAATACGCCAGTACATGTTTCAACTAATACTGACAGAAAACTTAAAAATACATTTTGTTATCAATCAAGATAGTATCAAATAAAGCTGGGGATAAGTCATGGTCCTTTCTGAGCTGATGTCTTGATTTCACTGTGCCCTCACCGGTTTTCTGGTTTCTGTTAAATTCTTTCCATCTTCCCTGTAGAAGAAAGTTGTGCACTTGGAGAGGGTAGCCACCTACTAACACTCAGAGTTAATTGAACTTTTGTATTGACTCTGATGAAGTAAGAAAAGACAAATTAAACTAAAAAGGCCCAAAAAAAGCATGTACGAGTATTTAGAAAACAGAAGGTACAGAGTATCAACATATTCCTTGCACACATAAAATGCAGGATAGTTCTTTTTCCTCATTAGCAAAACACTACTTTTAATCCTCATATTTCTGGACTATAAATAAGAAAATATTCATTAAGGAGGAGGGTTAGAAGACAATGTGGCTGGTGAGGTTTGTTTAAAATTCTTTTGAAACAATTTTAAAATAAAAAGAAGTCTCTCTTAGACTGCTGTAAAAACAACTGTAAAACTGTAAAAACTGTAAAACCAGCTTCTTCATATTTTAATGTCAATGTAATTTTTTGGTTTTTTTTTTTTTCCTGAAAGGAGAGAAGGAAAATCTTCCAGCTTTCACCAACAAGGGAATAGGGAACTCTGCTTTGGAATTCCATTCCATCCTTAGTTTTGGAGTTCAGTCCTCGTAAGTGTTACAGGAAGTGCTCTCTGCATTATATTAATCTCCTTAAAATAACCTAGGTATACTTCAGGATTTGTATTGAAGGAAGAGCATATGATTTGTTTGGTCTGAATACGGGCTTACTTATACTTTTCCTTAAGCATTCCCTGAGTATCAGATCTAGACAAGCTAGGTGGACCTCTTGGTCAAAGCCAGTCTGGTAGTTCTTACATTCTTGGCACAAAGCTAGGAGTCTGGAATCTTCTAATGCACGATTCCAGTGATTTGGGTTACTTCCTGTGCCTCTAGGCAAATTATTTAATATCTGTCTGCCTTAATTTTCCTGCTGTATGTCTGTTCCAGGGATAGATTACACTTGGTTTTGGATACATTAATGAAATATAGATTACTCAAAGGAATAGGGCTATGGTTGACCAATAGGTAATAAATACTGTTAACAGTGCAGACTGAAATTATCTTGGCTTGCTTTTGCAGAGTGAAATACTCAAGCAGTATCAAGGAGATGCTTATTCTCTTTGCCACCACCATTTATAGAGTTGGACTAAAAGTTGCTCCAAATGAAGCTGATTACCGGATTCCTATGATGACATGGAGCACATGTGCTTTTACCATCCAGTGTATAGGTAAAGCATAATTTGGGTCTATTCCTTCTCATGACTTGAAAATCTTACAACTGTTTGGTCGTATAATTTTATGCAATCTGATTGTATAAATAACATTTCTACATAAATAAGAGCAATATGTAATAGTATAGCAATGTATGTAATTACATATATAATAATGGAATAACAATCTATAATCCAATATAAATAATAGAATGTTTTTGTTAGATGGTAGCTTGTAAGATAAGGTGTGGAACGCAAGCGTTGAGTCTAACCGCAGAGCAGAGAGTGACCATGTTGCACATTACTAATTGTAACATTAAGTATGTTCAGTGAATATCTTCATGCTGCCGAAGTCCATTGAGCTGCAGGCATCTCCTATGCAGCTAAATATCTAAAACCTATTAAATAATACTCCCTCTGTCATTATTTCATTTTGTCTTTATTATCAAAGAATTCTCGTGGAATTTGTAGAAGAAATACGATCTTTTGCATGCTGAAATTGCTGAGCAGTTACCTGGTAGAGAAAAACCCAACCAAACCAACCATCCCAAACATTCTCGGGCATGAATCTCTTTTTGAAGGCAAAATAATTACTATAAAAATGATTGCATTTTTTGGGATAATGTACCTGTTTAGCAGCCAGTTTTATTTACTTTCTGTACTACATACACAAAGAAGTTTGTGTAATAAACATGAAGCTGTCGATAAATCTGTGGTGGCTTCCAGGCAGGGAGAGACACAAGAGATGTAGTCTGAAATGCATGCTGAAGGAATTGAGAATGTAATTGTATACAGCTCCATAAACATGATTTGCCAGGTATACCATTTTTCTTGATGAAGCTCTTGAGGTATAAGTGTCTTGAGGTATAAGTCTACCTTAAATCGATAGTGGACTTGACCCAGCTAGAGTCTCAAAAGTTCAAAAGGTCTTTAGGAGGATTGGGAATATTCTGATAAGGCAGGAATAGTCATGAAAACTGATGGCATCTATTTAGTGTTGGATTTTATCAGAGTTTTCAAGTGGGTTGGGAGAGGACTGCAAGCCACGCAGCTCTATTAACATTAATGCATTTATTGCTGTGCAAATTGTTTTCTTTTGCTATCTAAAGAAAGACCTTGGTGTCTGTCAGGGATGAGTTTGCCAGCAAATGGATAAATGCACAGACTGTTATCACAGATGTGATCTCAAAGGCATATGTCAGAAATAGAAAATTCAGATGCCTCGCCAGGCCAAGATTATAAAACCAGATGGACCACTGTGGCAGTCTGACCTATCCTAGGCCACACCACTTCCATGGATTCATTTTTGTTTACAAATAGAGCAGACTACCATAAAATTATAAAGCAAAACTGCCTAAATAACTTCAAGTATGCTGGTTATGAATAGAGTGCATTAGTATGGGCCTGTAGCAATGCTTCTTAGACAAGGAGCTACCTGTATTAGTGGAGTCTCTAGAGGAGGTTCAAGCTATTATTACCATTTAAGATAATTTTTTTTTAAAGATAATCTCTTATGAGAATAAAGTTGATCTTTTCCAAGAAGTACATATACTAGGAATAAATTAATCTTGGACTAAGTGGATTCTAACAAAAAAGCTATGTTAGTTCCTGTAGAACAAAGCAAATTAATTCTTTCTGTGTTTAATTTTAAGAAAACCTCTTGGAAACAGAGGGCAAGCCTTTATTTGGATCTCTACAAAATAGACAGGTATGGGCAAGAAAGATATGCAATACATGTTCAACAAAAAAGCTTATATATATATATAAAATACATACATACATTAAAAAAACATTTTAACAGTTAACGTCAAGACCATTCTCTGTTGAGGGATAGCCCTCAGCATGTTTAGCTTGATAACATAGAGCATTTTGGAAGAATAATATTTCTACTTATACCTGGAAGTTCGTATTAAATTCACTTAACAATATTAAATTCACTTATCAATATGTTTTCTGGTTGTAGGAGTAGATATGTTTTTACAGCTTTATTTCACTATTATATCTTTCCTTTTTTCCTGTCCAACCATTTTCTCTTGCTCTCTAGCACAGTGGCCTTAAAGCATTAGTGCAGTTTGCAGCTGCTCAGAGAACAACATCACCACAGGTCCTGATTCAGAAGCATCTGGTTCGTCTTCTTGGAGGTATTGTATTGCTTTTTCTCACTACATTTTGTATTGCAGAAGTTTTTATTGCAAAACAGCACACACTTTATTACAGCAGAGAAGCAAAGGTTAGACTACTGACAACAGTGCTAACTTCAATTTCTGCAATGTTGCCTGAAATCATGGAATATTGCTTGAAATAAAGTCACCAGTAGTTCTGTTAACCCAGCTGTTTATCACTGAAGTCCCCCAAAAATCCTCCATCCCAGAGGATTACCCAGGCCTGGTGATACTCAGATCTAGAGTATTTACACATGGCTAACAATCTATTTCTGGCAATGTTCAAAATTCTGTGCTAAACAGGTAGATAAAGCCACAGAACAGGTATTCCTCTCTCCTAATTTTAAGACTTCATCTTTTTACTATTTTCAAAAGGTTGCTTTCAGCCTAGTTTAAGATATTTTTGTCTTGGGATGAGCTAGTTTGAAACGGTTTTCTTACTGATTAGGTTAGCATGGTGGCCTTTGTGAATCCCACTCTGTGACTTGCCTTCTATTTGATAGGATTCTTCCTTGTGGTACAGGCTTTGTATTGGGCTAGGCTGTGAGGCACCTAGTGTTGCATTGCCAAGGTACATTTGTGGACTTCACCCTTAACGCTGTGTGTGCTTTATTAAGAAATAAAGATTTTTATCTCAGAATTTTTAAGATATAGTCATTAAAATTGTCAGCTGGTTGGGCATGTGGAAATAGCCAAACAGATGAACAATCAATTAAACAAGTGGGGAACAGTTAGATACTTCCTGAGTTCAGGGACTTAGACATTTTTAGATGAAACCACAGAAATTATAGAGGCTCTAAAATCAGATTCTGATATTGCAGTTTAATCCAAAAGAGAAAAATACATGTCAAATGCATAATTGCTATCTTTATTTTGTAGTTCTTCTACCAAACTTTAAAGCAGAGGACACTCCATCCCTCTTAGAAGTAGATATGTTCCACGTTTTGGTAAGCAGCTTCATTTTATTCTTCATATTAATACTTCTTTTTAAACATGGATTTTCATGTACTTTATCCTCTAGGCAGCCCAACATTAACTATTCACTTACATGAATCAAATGATTATACACGAAAACTTCATACAAATGATTACATATGGCTGCTATATATGAGTGCTTATTTTTAGTTCTGCTGTTCTAGTTTTCAAGTATTTGCTGGCTCACTTTTAACGAAGTGTTAAATTTCATGCTTGCCATCTCAGTCATCTTTTTATTGCTATTAAACTTCAAAAAAACCCTGAGAAATGCTGCACCCACTCAGCTTGTTTCCTGCACTTTCCCATTGTCTCAATAGGCTTCTCATACCTTCTGATTCCTTCACATTCATTGTCATTACCTTCTGTACTTTTCTTAGCCTCTTCTTTCTGTTCCTAATACAAATCTGTATTACAGTTTCTTCTACTGTTAAAAAAAATCCAACAAAACCCAAAACTGCGTAACAAAAAGGCCAACAAACAAAAAAACCCAAAACCCAAACCCTCCAAAATAAAGCCTGTTTTGCCTGGGTTGCCTTTCTATCTAACACTTGGTCTTGCTTCTCACTTTTTTCCATGTGCTTTGTCTTCTGTTGAAAAACCTCCACAAATTAAGCTTTCTACAAGTTGGACAAGCTTCCTTGGGGTATCTCTCAACTGGCAGTTACAATGGAACTATATCTGAGTTTCCTACATGCTAGAAGAGCACAGATAATATTTTTCAATGTGTTTTTGCTACATTTTGTGAATTAAAACCAGCAAGATAAATTAACATATTTAAATTCACTACAGAAATTAAATATATATATACAGTGATAATATAATTTCTATTACCCATGTAGCTATTACCAAATTTCTGTGACTTTAATATTTGCACCTTCCCTTTCACTGTAGGTGGGAGTTGTGTTATCCTTTCCATCTTTATACTGGGAGGATGCTGTAGACTTGCAACCTTCATCAATTAGTTCAGCCTATAACCACCTCTACCTCTTCCATCTGACAACACTGGCACATATAACACAAATCGTCATCTCTTCAGCAACAGGTAGAGGTGTGTTTGGGTTAGATTATTCTGGCATTTTTACACTATTTCTTAAAAATAACGGATGGCCTCAGTGTCTTCCAGGTATAAACTTCCTCATAATAAATGACAGTGCTAGGTAATAATAACTGTTTCCTAATAAAAAATAAATAGCACTGTTTTCATTTTCAGAGCATTTTGTTGTATCACTTCTTGTGTGCTTAGCTGAAATAAACTGATAGAATTTCACTTTTCTCTGTATTTCATACTGCTGTTGAAAGCTGTCAGTAATGTACAGGCTTCATAGAATCATAGAGTGGTTTGGGTTGGAAAGAACCTTAAGATCATCTAGTTCCTAGATATTACTTTTGTTCACCATGATGAGAATTAAAAAAAGAAGTTATGTAGGACAGTAATTTCAAAAGTTAAAGGGAACTTTTATGTGGGGATGAGCAATGAAGTGGTATTCATGATGATTCTTTATAGCATGCATTTTTAGGAGACCATTTGTGAGGTTAACAAGAGCAAATAGGAAAGAATTAAGCAAAATAAAGTGGAAATACTTTTGTAATGCAATCAAAAAAAAGAAAAAAGATAAATGTGTCACAAATGAAGTGCATTTACTGTGAAATGAATGTTTCTGTGTGCAGAATCCCCTACTGCTCAATCATCGGACAACAGTGAGGAGGCACGATCTGCAGAGTCTTTTTGTAGAGATGTTTGCCAGTACACCAGTGGGTAAGGAGCAGTTCCAGTATAGCATTGTATTTTCTTAGAAAGACTGCAATCCATAGGGATAGACTAGAACAACACAGAAAAAAAGAAACAAATTATTAATTTCATACAGGGAGTTAGCACAATGCCTTGTGCTTTCTTCTTGTAATCCTGAACACTGAGAAAAAAGAATCTCGTGAAAGGAATGCTTTTAGTTAAAATAGCTATATTATGTGGACAACAGAGTAAATTCTTAGTCTAAGGATGAAAAAAATACCTGCATCCGTTCTAGAGAGAAACACAACTAACATTTGTAGCTATTTTTCTTTGCCTTCATTGTTTGGCTTTTTTTAAAGATCTCTCAATCACGGATAGAAGCCAGAAAAAAGGAAATTTTTCTACTATAAAAGGGGCAGAAATGTAATGCTAAACACAGTTGCTTATTTGTTTGAGCATCAATGCCCATCTTTTCAGACTTTTGTTTCTTAATAGGTATAGCTACAAACTCTATAGTACTTCACTATCTATGTGTGAAATAAACTAGAAAATACGGATTCACCTTCTAGAAATTCTGCTTTGATTTATCATCACCAAGGCTAGTTGCAAAGATATGTTCTAGAATCATAGAATAGTTAGGGTTGGAAAGGACCTTAAAATCATCTAGTTCCAACCCCCCTGCCATGAGCAGGGACACCTTGCACTAAACCGTGTCACCCAAGGCTCTGTCAAGCCTGGCCTTGAACACCTCCAGGGTTGCGGCATTCACAACTTCATTGGGCAACCTGTTCCAGTGCCTCACCACCCTCACTGTAAAGAACTTCTTCCTTATATCTAACCTAAACTTCCCCTGCTTGAGTCTGAACCCATTACCCCTTGCCCTACCACTACAGTCCCTAACAAAGAGTCCCTCCCCAACATCCTTATAGGCCCCTTTCAGATACTGGAAGGCTGCTATGAGGTCTCCACGCAGCCTTTTCTTCTCCAGGCTGAACAGCCCCAACTTCCTCAGTCTGTCTATATATGGGAGGTGCTCCAGCCCTCTTATCATCCTCGTGGCCTCCTCTGGACTTGCTCCAACAGCCCCATGTCCTTTTTATGTTGAGGACCCCAGAACTGGACACAATACTCCAAGTGAGGTCTCACGAGAGCAGAGTAAAGGGGCAGGATCACCTCTTTTGACCTGCTGGTCACGCTTCTTTTGATGCAGCCCAGGATGTAGTTGGTTTCTGGGCTGCAAGTGCACGCTGTTTCTCAAGGATTGACCAAGGATTGAACTTACAGACCACTTGTCTGTAAGTTTTAAATCTGCATTTCTAAATATTTAAAATTTGGTATTTAGAAAATAGGACTAACTTTTCTGGGACATAAGCTTAGAATCATAGGTGCTGTGCGTCTTGAAAAATCAGGTCACTGTACTGAGGTGTCTACAGAATTGAATACCAAAGTTTAGGCAACACAGCTCTGCACTCTTTAGTGTGTTCATTTCTGTGCATGCATTGTCATCTTCTAACTCTGACCTATTAAGCAGCACAAATTGCATAATTTTGAAGTGGTCTATGATGTTATAATCTAGCTTTACAGGTCGTTGCTTAGCAGGTCCTGGTCAACATGTGTGTGAATATCCTGTTCACATAAATGAGCATTTAATTAATTGTAAAATTTTTAGAAAACTGGGATACACTAAGTTAAATTTACTATGAAATTTAGACTAAATGCTCATATTGCACAAACTACAAGAATAATTACTGAGATGAGTATCACTCCAGTATTTTTTGTCAAAAATGGGATTAGTATAGCTTTATTTTAAATGCTGAGTGTTACTATTGTGACTTCCATAATGAAGTATAAAGTATTAAACTTTTAATTCTATTGGTTTTGTTATTCCTGAACAATGTATGTTTCCATGTTTGTTTTTCTCATTTTTGAGTGGCATTCAAAACACTGAATGAAAAACTACTCTTTCAAAAAAACTACTGGCTTTCTGTAATAAAAATGACCATTGTCAGAATCAATAGCTCTGTGTGATACTGTATTGCCCAGTTTAAATTAGGCCATCTTGAGTTAACTGGGGATAACGGCTGTGTATTGGCTATTTATGTAAGTTAAGATAATTTGAAGGCTTAATGTAAGTGTTCTACATATCTCACTCCTTAGGCAAAGGGGAAGCTGGAAGTTAGGTGCTGGAGGCTGCGTTTCATGGAATTTGGGGTGCATTAGTGTTGCTTCTACACAGCTGCCTTTCTAGCAATGCTAGCCAAAATGTGAAAGTACTAGAAGGATTTGCACTATGAACTACTGCAGCTATTTCTCATTTGTGTATTGCAGTTGCTTCAGTCAGGATATTCCAGGCTGGCTTGTGTGGGATTGTGTTAAAAAAGGCATCATGCCTTACCTTCGTTCTGCTGCTTTATTTTTTCATTATTTGCTGGGAGTTTCTCCACCAGAGGAACTACTACAAGGTAAATATAGGAAAGCAACTATATCTATATATATTGGCTTTGTTTGCTGTTTTCTTGGAAGAATAGTGTTTTAAAATGCTCACATTAACTGTTAATGCATTAAAGTAAGAGCTGGAAAGAAAAGGAAATACTAGTTTTTATGAAGGGGCAGGCATGAGAAGCTGACTTGTCTTGGTCTTCTTTGCATGGAAAAGTTATGTGCAAATATGTGAGTTATCAATGATTTATTGATAGTAAGTATTTGTGGATACAAAGGTTCTGTGATTTAAGGCTAATTCTAGGGGCTTAGATTATCTCACCTGAGAAGCAGCCTGGAGTGTATTTTGAAAAGCAACAACAACAAAACTTTTTGTGCAATTGCTGATGTTAGTAAATCTTAAAGACAAATCAGCAAAACACACCCAAGTAGAAATAAAACGCGTTATAAAACTTAATCCTCTACTTTGAAGGGTCATAGCGCATTACAGATGCTAAACCCAAACCCAAATATTTTGTCTTTTGTCAAAATGCAGTGAAACAGAATCCTCAACTATTTGGAAAGGAGAACTAAAATTGCTATGAACAACTGAGACAAAATATAGCATGTTAGATTGATTTATATAAACTGTGAACTGAGTTTAAATTTTATTAGGACCTAAGAATCAAAATCTCTGCTTGTTGAGGTATGCTATTGTCCTTACCATTAGTCTGCAACTTTGATTCTATAGGGAGGAGTCTTCCTGGTGAGTCTGCAATGCCATTTTCTCTGGCAGAGCCAACAAATGACCACCCAGCAAACTATTAAATTACCCCAACTTTATGTAGAGTGTTACCACTGACTTGATCATAGCAAAATTTAATATCACTGCAGGCAAAAAAGATGGTGAAAAGCTAAACTGTGGTTAGTACAGAAATCTACTGCACTAACATGCATTACTATGTAATTTTTAAGTTAAGCCTAAAGCATGTCATCAGCTAATACAAATTATTACACCTCTCATTAAGTCAGGGGAATTACATCCAAGCTAGGAGCTATGCTGAAGCTGTAAGATACGTATTGTTTAGTGGAAAAGGGACTTGGAGATTTCTAGTTTTGAGTGAATTATTCAGCAGTGGTGAAACACTTTAACATTTGCTCATGTTTTCTTTTTCTTTTGCAGTTTCTGAAGAAGGGCAATTCAAGGCACTTTGTAGTTACCTCTCTCTACCTACCAATTTGTTCCTGCTCTTCCATGAATACTGGGACACAGTAAATCCGCTGCTTCAAAGGTACTAACTGAGACTGGGCAGGCCACATTTGTGCTGGCCTTATGGGAATTCTGAATCAAATTTTGTTAATAAATGATCAAGCTCAAGTTCATAGTTGATTTCTAAATATGTTTGATGTACTCAGGTATAGTGAATCTCTTAAAGCACTTCAAAAACAGAAAATTACTATAAACCTTTGCCTGCATGGTATGCCACTTCATTGGCCTATTTCTAATCTGTCTAGAGAAAAAAATGCTGATTGCGTGAGCTATAAAATGAGAACATGGAAAATTATGTAACTGGCAGCATGAGGCTTTGTACTATTTCTTCTTCAGATTTCCAAAATAGGCTGATGAATGTCAAAGTTAGCTTAATGGTTAAAAGGTGCAATTAAGTATTATGGACATTGCAGTAAAGCAGTTAAGAAATAATTGATCAAATTAATCATTTAAAATCACAAGCAAGGCTAAAGAGACACCACTCCACATGCACTAACTGAGAATAATTCTGCTATATTATGTTAGAGCATGTCTCCATGTATTTAATGTGACTGAACACTTGGTTACATTAATTATTATTACTGGTTTTTGGCAGAATTCTCTGTCTCACACTAGCTTTTTCTGGGTTTTTATTAACCTCTGTTTTGTTGTCTAGATTCTTTCAATTTAGGGACATTTTGACCTCTTTTTGACCTGTTGTTTGACATGTTGACCTGTTGTCTAACTTACCTGACTGTAAGTTTGAGTCATTTTTTTAGTCCAGCTGACCTAAAAAAAACTCCCTACATGCAATTTTTCTGTAATTAATTGCATTTTTAGTATACATAATAACTTGTAAATTAATAGCATTTTTACAAATTATTAGATAAGTTTTCTTTTATGTTCCTACATGTTTGCTCAAAGAAATAACAGTGCTTATGAGAGAACACAGAGGATAGGTGCTTGTGGACATTAGACGACAGTCACTAGAGGCAGGGCTAACAAATTGTAGTGCTCCCAGTCAAAGATAGAGGTTTCAAGTGGGAGGCTACATATTTAATAGTAACAGTTGTCAAATCATCATGCAAGTTCCCATATGTTTTTTTGAAAGAATCTTATTTCAGAAGACTAAATTTGATGGTGGTTGGGAAATGTGTTAAATGAAGCATGCTAGATTGACCATCTGCTACAGTTCTCTCCCTTCTCTTCCTCTTTGTAGAAATAACATAAAAGATATCTTAAGACATACCAATTCCTCTGTTTAGCAACTTGCCAATAGCTACCATTGCTTTTGAAGAAACATTTGGCCATTCTAAGCAAGCATAGAACATGCAATAAAGCATTGTAATATAACTATTGGGTGATGGTTATTAAATAAACACAATAAATATTTTCCTAGTATAGTGTATAATATTTTCTTACACTGTGGCTTTCAGCTGACCTGTTCCAAAAGGAGCTGTGTATTGTATCCCACTTTAAGAACTTGAATGAGTTGAAGACTGCTTGCATTTTTTAACTCTGTTAACTCTGGGTTTTCATGTCCATATAGGTAATTTTAGGAATTGTTTCCACATATTTTATACAGGAGATTTTTTTCCTGGATACAAACTTAAATTCTTTTCCTGAAGCAAAACTGTAAAAAATAGCTGTTTCTCCTTGTGAAGTTTTAGCTAGAACTATCAGTGGTTTATCTGTGCTCTGCTTGCTTATTGCTTACTAGTTTAGTGATCCTAAATATACATTATTATCATTGTAATCTGCAAATGCTTGTTTGAAATAGGTGGTGTACTGACCCAGTGGTGTTAAGTTCTTTGAAGGGCAAAAGTATTTCAATAAGGTAAGATTGGTTTTGTTGTTGTTTTTTCTTCTGTTGTTAACTTAAAACTGTTGACAGAATGAAGTGCTTATTGTTTCTCCTTAAAGGAACTCTTTAAATGGTTGTGTGTTATTCCTCATTCAGTGACTCTTCATAGAGAATGTACAACATGGTTAGACAATTTATCTAGCTTTCTCTAGGATAAAACAAAAGCCAACTGAAATATGAAATGTCTTTTATACATGGAGGTTACTTACTGATGAAATTTAATTTCATTGCTTTTGCTGGAATATAGAAATGCTGAAGCTCCCATGTGGAGCCTCTCACTTGAGCTTCTAGGACTGAAGAACTGCTCTAGAATTGCACAAGTTTGTGGAAAGGACTGAAAGCTAAGCAGAAATTTATAGCTCTCTGTGCTGTTTTTTGTTTCAATCTTTATTATTCTCATAATAGTTCTTTCTCACTTACCCAGGTATCCGAGGAAAAGAAATAGCTTAATAGAGCTACCTGAAGACTATAGCTGCCTTCTGAACCAAGCCTCTCAGTTTCGGTAAGATGTGAGATATATAGTTGTTTGCACAGGTATTTTGTCACTTTTAGTCACTTATGTTCTTGCAGTTAATGTAACTGGTGTTAAAACGATGTACAGAAATGATTTTACAGAAGTGAAGCCACTGTTATGGTTATACTGGTCAATACTAGCACATTTCAATTTTAAATCTGAAACACAACAGCTTACTGAATGAAGTCACTTGTGTTGGATAGGATAGCACATGAAACGGTTGTAGCTTAATCTGCTGGTCATTTTTCAGCAGTGCAATGTGCATTTGGTTTGGCCGTCAGCCTGAAAATTATTTTTTGCACTGGACACAACAGGCCCAGAAGGTTGGCACAGTTTTATGCCAGGAAGAGCGAATCATAGGATAATTCAGGTTAGAAGGGACTTGAGCAAATCATCTAATCCAACCAACTGCTCAAAGCAGATATCTTGCAGATAACATATTTCAAGCAGTGTAAAAATGCAGCCAAATGAGGCAAATACATGAAACATGATTAAGACATAGTATGTCTTAGGGCTTTTTTTTTTGTTGTTGTTGGTTGGGGTTTTTTGGGAGGTTTTTATTGCTTTTTAAGGAACATTACCTGTAGTTAGCATTTATTTTAAAGTTTTAATTCCTGCAGTAACATTCTGGTTATGCTTCTTCTAGATGCCCACGGTCTTCCGATGATGAACAAAAACATCCAGTGTTGTGTTTATTCTGTGGGGCTATGTTGTGTTCCCAGAATACTTGCTGTCAGGAACTGGTGAATGGGGAGGAGTTGGGAGCCTGTACTTCTCATGCTCTTCAATGTGGAGCTGGAGTCTGTATGTTTCTCAAGTAAGTAGCTAGCCAGGATTTAATGTGCTAAATGGAAATACTTCAAAGTCAAAATTCACAACGTTGTCAAAGCACTTGATTCTTCATGTCCAAGATGAGGAAACATTGCTTTGACCTAACATAAGCTCACCAAAAAGTTAAAAACCTGCTGGGAGTTGTCTTGTATTTTTAATATAGCTATTTTTTCCTTAAGAATCAGGGAATGCAAAGTTGTCCTCATTGAAGGTAAAACAAGGGGCTGCTTATATCCTGCTCCCTACTTGGATGAATATGGAGAAACAGATCCAGGACTGAAGTAAGTAGATGTTTGACTTTCTTTCTACATTTCTATTTTGGTATCTCTTTCTTTCTTATACCCTTTAGACAGCATATTGTTCCTCCTACCATTTAGAGCACTGTAATATGTGTCTTTAACCTGATGAACTTGTTTAATTTCAAATGCCTGATGACAGTTTCTGGTCATAAATAGCTTATTCATAATGGAAAAATACACTTTTTGGGTACTATTAAACTTCTTTACTTTTCTCAAGAATACTTTGTATGCTTTTCATCACAAATGTACAACTGCCATTGCTGAAATGTCACCTTGGAAATGCAGGTCACCGCTTGCATGTCGAATTTGTTTCGTTCCCAGTGGACTTGTTGGAATTGGGTGTTCGTACAAGTATTTCATATATTCTAGCTGTGGTGAAAAGTCTTAATATTATACCATGAATGGAACAGTTTGTCAGTTGCTATTCTGATATGCTTATTGGGTATTCTCCTTTTTCTTCCATGAAGAAGAGGCAATCCCCTGCACTTATGTCGGGAGCGTTACCGGAAGCTCCATCTGCTATGGCAGCAGCACTGCATCATAGAGGAGATTGCTAGGAGCCAAGAAACGAATCAGATCTTCTTTGGATTCAACTGGCAACTGCTCTGAGTCTTTTGATTTTTAGTCAAAACTCTTACTTTGGGCAGTGCTTTGGAAAAGGAAAGGAGGGTGGCAGCAAATAATCCACTCTCAAGTGGATTCTGTAGTTCAGACTCGATGGATTCTCTAGGTTGGATATATTACTGACACATTGAAACAAAAATCTCACATCGTATGTTTTGCTTTATTTTTTTTCTTTTCCCCAAAAGAAACACCAAATTATACAATTACAACTGAACATCCAGGTTCAGAAATATTTCCACTTTTTTGAGGATTTGTAATTGTTTCACATGTTTCAACAAGGACAAGCTTCCCAAATGCTGTGCTTCAGGGCACGTACCACATTTTTGTCTCTTCCATGCCTTGAGAATATACCTGAATGGTGTTGCTATGGAAAAGCCTCCTTTACGTTCTCCCTAGGTTCTTTTCCAAAGCTTAGTGAAGCTTTTGAATAGGTCAGGGTCTGTGGCATAACATTGGAGTGGAAATGGTGCCAGACCTTTAGTAATCTGCAGCAACAGGTACAACATTCAGTTGTACAGAAAAAGCCTTCATTCAGCTATGTCCTGGGATTTAATAAGAGTTTTCCTTAATAAACTCTTTAAAGGAGAAGTGTGGGCTAGAAAGTGCATGGGGGAATTACCATCTTGCTTGTTGCATCAAAAAATAAAGTCTGTGCTTTTTGCATTGCCAGAACTGCACTTTATCTAATGAATTTGTTCTCTCTTAACATTGTCTTTCTTAAGAGGTCTAGGGCTACACCATTTGGCTAGGTTGTGTTTAGTTTTACTTCTTTTACAGTTTGTTTTCTGAGATTTTCCCTAAGACCCCAACATAAAAATACTGTTAAGTAGTTGTAGTGTAGCTCTGCAAGTTATACAAGAGCCAGAGACTTCAGTGAAGTAGATGACCTTTGAAACGATCACTGGACTAAAACTAAGGCCCAAAAAGCAGCAAGCTTAGAATCAGAAATAAGTTTATTTGCCCATATTTGAGGAATTTTCCGCTCTTCATCCTCTGTCACTACATAAATGAACCTGTGTGTTTTGGGGCGCATATTCAGTGCCAGTTAGAGCAGAAGAGGGGTGGGGGGAAGGTGGCTAAGTCTGTCTCTTTGCCCTTCAGTAGTGAATAGCACATTGTGATTGAACTCCCTCTCAAGGATATGTGACTGTGCTTCAGTTCTAAATGTTTGCTATTCTGTTTTCTGGATTTCAACCATAATATACTTGAGCAAATTTGTAATGTGCTGGGTAAAAATGCTTTCCCAGAAAACCCCGTTTCGGTGTGGAAGTTTGAAGTTGTCAGTACTCTAAATTTCTCCACCCTTTCCCGTTTGGGTTCTTTTCTGTCATTTTAATAAGGCTTCCAAGGGGAGGTTTTCAATTTAATGTCATTCATGTCTTGAGCGTGTGGTGGTGTATGATTTCTTTTGGTTTGTTTTTCTACTGATTGTATGAGAGATAGTAGAATCACAAATAGAGATTTAGATTTAAATGCCATTGTTCTAGTTTTTTCAAGTTCTTAAAGTACGTATGAGTGCACTGAACAGCACCATAACATCTAGACATGGAATACCAGTGAACTCAAATATTGCTCTGATTTCAAAGACTTTTTTTATAACTTTTGCTATAATCCTTCCCTGGTGATATAAATAGTTGGCTTTGGTATATTTTTCAGGTATTCTGTTTCTTGCAGTTAAGACCATTCTCCTTATTTTGATTCTTTCAGTTTTTAAACCTGAATATGAAACTCTTTAAAGACAAATATTAAATCTGTCAATCTTCTCTAAAACGTATTTGAAATGCATTCTGAATTTAGAACAACAGTTGTCATGAAAACTCACATTCACTGGCAATTTCCAAGGACATCAAAACACTTCTTACCAACAAAAAAATCGACTTAAGACTAGCAAATGTATGCCTCGTTAATACCAAAACTGTTCTCACTGTTTCCCTCTGATACTCACCTATTCATTTATCAACAACTTTCAGTTGCCTTGCACTTCACTGGTACAACAATTCCGTTATCGAATATGCAGTGAAATCACTTCATTTCGTTTTCTGTTTGAACTGTAGTATAGAAGGACAGGAGCTGGGCTGAGCAGGTGAGCTCGTGTTTGAAGCTCTAGAAATCTCTCTGAAGCTGAAGAAGAGGGAGAGGAAAGTTGCATCTTTCTGTACGTTTGCACATACTAATTTAGCAAATGGGCTCCCATGTCATTCACCGGCTCGTGTGGTCATCTTTCATTTCATAAATTACTATGCAGTTTTGTTCACTGTGAGTATAATCTGTATTTAGTGTTCGCAAGACGCTTATGCCACTGATTTCCATTCCATCCAAGCTGACAGGAGAAGTTATTTGATAATGCACATATTGGTATCTTTAATTGCAAAAATGTAAATTTGAAACTTGTATAATGTTCTTGTGCTTTTGAAATAAAATATCTTGTATATGTATATTTAAAACCAGGAAATAAAATAACTTCTCGTAGATCATTCAACTTTTATTTGGAGGCACTTTGACACTTCACAGTTCATTTCACGTGAGCATTATAGCAGCATCTGTCGGTGTGGAAAAGGAGCAGAGTTAGGAAATGGTTGGTAAACGATACCAGTTCTCCTGTAGTCTGTGTCATCACTGAACCAGGTAGTAATGCTGGCATGCTTTTCCTTACTTAAAGAAATATTCCCCTTGGAATGTGTCTTAGCATTTTACAGCTGCAAATTCCTGCAGTGTCCACCTCAACTTGTAAAAGAAGTCTTAAGTACAGAATTTAATATTCAGATGTCCTTACACTGCTTAGTTGAGTGATTCTGGGTTTCTAGCTTCTCAAAGGAGAACTGGCTATACCGTCTGTCAGCCAGATACTTAACCTCTAGGAAGGGAAATTTTGTGGTGCTGGTCTAATGTGCTATGTGATACTTTAACTTTTATTACAGAGCTGAGCAAAGAGCCAAGAAATCTTTGATGTAGAAACGTCAAATGTCAATGTTCCAAGCTGCTGGCAGTCATCGCTTCCTTGCTGCTTTGTCCTTGCTTTGGGCCCCTTGAAGCTTACAGAGTTTGGTTGTTGATGGTTGTTACTGTCTATGTTTATTCCTACTGAATGTTTCTTTAAGAACCAGCTCCTGAAAAGGCAAAAAGTAAAAGTGGATGGAATAAAATCTGCTAGCAAAAATGTCATTGAGACCATTGGAACAAGAAGGCCATTCACTGGGGAGAAAATAAAAGGGGGGTAAGTGGGCAGGAATCCACAGCACCATTTTTTTGCATAGTAAAAATCTCAAAGTGCAGTGTATAAATGTACAAAGTTATATAGAGGAGAACTCTAAATGCTTTGCTTTATGGTTGAAATCCACTTTATTTTCTAGAAGAACATCCTTGAATTGTCTCCATTGTAAACTAGTCATATTTGTAATACAGTATCTAAGTTTGTTACTTGGATTCTTTTAACGTATGACTTGACCACATCTTCAAAGAGACTTTCTTCAGAACTGAAAGTTGTTTCATTTCATTTCTGTGGCACAATGTCTTTTATTTGTTTTTATCTGTGTATTGCAGGCGGGCTAAATTTGGGGATTGGTACAGAAAACAAATGGATAATAATGAAAATGCAGTCCTATACAAGTCTCTCAAGCTCTTTCTAATCCTAGCTACACTTCTCTAAACTTACATTCTGTATGATTGAAAGTGTACATGGAAAATAAACTATGTAAAGGAAATGTGTGCTGAAGGAGAGCGAGCTGAAATGCAAAGGGAGTATATATATTATTTTGTGTCAAAGAGGAGACCAGGTGTAAAGTTAAACATGAAACATTAAAATTGGACCTAAGTTTCACTTTTATTTCTGTGACTGTTGTTCATGAGATCAGTGTCAAAAAAAGAAGTGTAGTTTGGGCTGTTTAATTACAGGGTGTCAAACAACTCGGAAGCTGTCAGAGTTAATTTAGGACGCTTCTAGGCTCTGTGCTTGAGTGGATGAGCCTCAACAAAATGTGGCAAAGCAGGTAGTGTGGGGACTGGATTTCATGATCATTTCAAATCCTTGCTATGTTTGTGAAGATCTGTGGTTAGTCTTTTTCAGCAGACTGCAGAACCTTATGTCTCCTTCCTCTTAGTAGTGCCTGAAATGTAACATTAGCCTCTATTAGTATGAGAATTAGTACAAGAATTGACATACCATCTAGTAGTTGGAGAGAGGTCATCCCAGTGTACCAGGGCTTCCACTTGAAGGTTATCCTGAACATACCAGCAGCCTGAGGAATAATCACTCCAGATGATAGAAAGCCTCCAATCTTCTTTCATCCCATTTTTGTGACTCATGCTGACCTTTACTACAAGTGGCAAACCCAGTGTATCTCAATCTCATGATACTGCTCATGATCCAGGAATACTGATTTTGCCAATTTGGACTTATACAGAACTTCATTGAGCAATTTGACTTACACATTCCAGGCAGTCTGCCTCAGTTAACTGACATCCAGGAGCAGAACAAGATCATCCCGTTAAGTGATGGTCTTCTCATGAAGAAGGACTTCACGCGTGTCCTATGAGCTGCACACCTTTGTGGTTCTTCACTGAAGTACTGCGTGCCACAGGCACAGCCTGAACTGATACAAAGCATGTGAACCAAATGATTTGTTAGATTTTAAATAGCACGATTCCTGTGTTGTAGAGAACTGTGTGATGGTATTATTGCAGTTAAAAAAATCCCCCAAAACAGCAGTTTGCAGAAGGGGGGTTTATAGCTTCTAAGGAAGGTTTTATTGTGTTAATTTTTAAATGTGAAATGCTAAATGTGCTCTATTTGTATACTTACTTATGATCAGAGTAGAGCAAGAGTTTTCAGTGGTAAGCAGAAAGCTTTAACAGAAGAACATCATAATTGCAATTTCTACAGGGACTGTCCTAGTGCCTTAACCAGAATCTGAACATTAAAAGATTTCAGAGTTGTTTTTTTTAATGAAGAACTTCACAAAGAAGATAAATTTATCCTCAGGTGAGTTCCTTCCTCTGGAAGTTGCTGTTGCACAAATATATTGTTATTGATTCTGGCTGGATTAAGCATTAATATACCTAGGATAAGATGTGTCCCCCAAATCGTATTTATTTCTGTCTCTGAGCAGATGCTCCGGCTTAAAGGCTTGGCTTGCTAATGCCATCTCTGTCTTTATAAATTACCAAGAGTTAGAGATGGAGTCTGTGCTGCTACCTGAGTTTGCTTCCTGGAGCCAGTGGCTGTGGTGTTAAATGCTCCAGAAACCCCAAACTGTTGATGGGTGCTGTAAAGCAGGCTGGGCATGTAGGGAGCCCTTCCACTGTCCGAGGAAACTAAGCCACGCAAAGCAAGGAAGAAAGTCTTTATTTAAAAAAGTAAGTTTTATCCTGATTGCTGTGAAGTGACTGTCATCTTTTTTGTAGTACATCTGTGTCGATGGGGCTCTGGATGCCTATACAGGATAGGAAGGAGCAGTCTAATGACTAAGTAATGCCTGGCAGTAGTCAAGGCGATGGTGGTTCCCTGTGAGGTAAGTTCAAAAGTGATCACACTGGTATCCACCACTGCAGTCCTTGGCAGCTGAAAGACAAAAGTTAACTTGCCAAATATTAACTAGTCTTTTATGGTGAAACATGTTCTCTTTACATGAAAGTAAATGAGCTGGGGGGGTTGGGGAAAATGTGTAGTTGCACGGTTCTGCCTCTGAAGTTTATTGTGTTTTGTACATCAAAACCATGAATGGGGTTAAAAAAACCCCATGCAAATTTATAGAAAAGTGTCCAGTGAGATTTATTGGAACACTGATACAAATACTCTGTCATACCAAGCCCCTGGAAGTTAGGAGGCTTTGTCAGGGAAAAAGCCATTTTCCAATGCTCTTGCCTCCTACATGCCTTTTGCAAAATATCCTCTACAGACTAATATTGCAGACGGACCCCATCTGCCCGTTTTTGTTTTTAACATACTTCAGTGTAGGCCTAAACTTCTAAGCAGTGAAGCAACTGCACTTGACGTTCTGATCATAGAGCCTGCTTGAATTACAGTGCAGGTTTTTACATCACACACTTTATTTACATTATTTATATTCATTCTAACATCGTAATTTTTGCTTATTCTAGTGTTATAGAAAACATTGTTTAGACAAGTAAAGGAATTTTTACTGTCACTTTTGCACAATTTCAAAAGCAGGAGTAGTTCTGCTTTGAATATCCCAGCGATACAGCTTCTTTTTACTTGATTATACGCAGGCTGTCAAATGATATTCAGACAAGGTATTATTCACAACAGTAACAAGTAAAATGTTGGTCTCTTATCCTCTATTCTGTATCGGGATGCTTTTCCTGTGTACTATGAAGGATGAATTACAGTCACAGGGCATCCTGGTCAGTGAAAAATCTGGTAACTGTCACATGTCAAAGCTACTTGTGATGTTGGTGTTTTGAAGACTTGCCTAGCTAGCTGCTGGGATAGATTTTGTTGTAACATTGGTTTTGCCACAGTTTGTGTTTTGAACATCGATGTTGGGGTTGTTCATGCCTGAGACAGTGGAGATCTGGTTGGCTTTGCCGAGGTTCTTGATGATATTGATGTTGTATTTGGCAGTTTCCACAAAGCTGTTTTCTAGTAACCAACCATCTGACTCTCCCTCCAAATCTCCTAGCAGGAGGACGTTCTTCATTGCTGTTTGTAGGTACCGGACACCAATAAGTACGGAGAGCTGTAAGGAACAGTTAATGGTTAACCAAGAGTTTAAATTGCAGCCTCAATCCTACCACCAAGTCAGCTGACTTGTGTATTTACAGGCTTCATAAATAATATTGAATAAAGCAGACAAATTCCTTATCCCAGACATGTATCAAACCACTCTCCCAATTAATGGCATTTTTGTAGAAAGAAAAATACCAGCGAGAGAGTGATTGATTTCCTTTCCATTCTTCAGGTAGCATTCCCACTTGGATGTTACTAGCACGTCAATACCCAGAATTACTTGGGAACACTGCAGCCTCAGATTCTACAACTAATTGCTGTAGAATGGATGATCAATTAATGGAACCATCAGTCACCACGGTGTGGGGGGGAAAGTAGAGTGTAGTGTGTTAATTTCTGTGGAATTTTTTTTCCACTGACCTTGATTAAATCAGTATTCCTGCGAGGAGTCTAATCATTCATATGGAAGCCAGATGTGTTCTACATGCCAATGCATTGAAATTAAGAAGGATGGCCTATAGCAGAGGCTCAAGTGTAAGTACAGGGAAAAGCCCCACTTCCGTAGTTCTCTGGAAACCCGGATCATGGTGCCTTTGTGTCAATGTTTAAGGGAGCACAGAGAGAGCTGGCTCGCAGCTTTCTCAGGTGCTGCCAATGGCCTGTTGATTCTGGCACCACCACCCCATCTAGCACTGCTGGAGGACTTGTGAACTATTTTAATTACAGTGCTAATATTCATGCAATACAGCAATAATCAGAAAATTAAAACTTATTAAAAAGGCAAGAAACCCATATTTTAGCCTATGCTATCATGGGGACCTTTATCAGTGGATGACAACATCCAGTTTACAGACACCAGTAGGAAGAGTGCATCTTCACATGTGTACGTGCTTGCCTGTGAAATGCTTATTTTGATTGTATAATAAGCAGTCTATGGAATGTAAAAAGGAGGCTTTGAGATAGTAATACCTATGCTGAATTTTTACTATCAAGTTAATGTATTCAGCCAAAGGCCTGCTCAGATTTTTGATATTCTTTGTTAAAACTGATTTAGAACAGACCTCAGACCTCATTTTCCTTGCAGTTGTTGCTGCATGTATCATCCCGTGACCGATCCCATAAACACTTCAGGGAAGGGAATATGCCATAGTCTACTGAAAAGCTCTGGAAACATACAGGGTTATATACATCATTTTGAATAGTTCTTATCTTCAGTGAGACTTGCTTCTGCTCTGGGAAGTTGTCTGTACTAAAGGAAATCCTGCAACATTCTTGAAGTGCTTTTGGATTTTCTATTAGATACTGAGGCACTCTTCATATGTTTCACCACAGTTGTTTCCCATCCTAGAGAGCAGGAAGACTGATTAATCTGACAAGACTGTTTTTAGGAGGCTTACCTCAAACAACCAAATAAGCAATGCTGTAGCACCAATGGATCTCATAATGACCGTGTAGTACTCCAGCAGGGCCTCTCTGCACCCCCTCACCCAGATATTGAGCTCCTCAGTCAGAAAATCATAGTTGTAGTGAGCGCTGTTGTTTGTCAGCTGGTACTGGATACAGGGCCGGGGGGAGCTTGGGTTGCAGCAGCTGAAGGGTACTCCATCTACCAAGAACTTCCCATCAACGTTGCTCTTCAGGCGGCTGCAGCAGGACAGAAAGTTTGGGCATTACAAATCTGGTTATCAGCAGCAAACAGTGTCTGTGGTCTTTATTAAAGGCTACAATGCCAATCTGCTGCAGTGTAGGCCTCTCCAATGTAACAAGAATATGGGAATATTTTTCCAACTGGAAAAGTTGCTTACTGCAGGAAAACTGTATTTTTCCTTTGCTGTATTTCTGAAGCGTGGTATCAGCACAGTATGTCATGGTTCTCAGTATTGTGTGTGCAAGGTGTGGGTTCAGTGTGTATGGGGATGGCGCCCTTTTTGAGTATCTGCACTGAAAATACTCAGTCTCTGAACTTGCTTATCTTGGTGGAACTCTAATGGAAGTTAAAGCCCTAGAAATCCTGTTTATCAGGATCATCAATCACTTCTGGATTGATTTTCAGCACAAGCATTCCTTAACAGAGAAACTAATCCAAGAACAACTTTGCATGCCACAGGAACTGCTGGAAATTGTCTTCATCATTGTACCCACATGCAATGGCTGGTTCCAGGCAGGTTTTGAGATCACAAGAGAGTTTCTACTTCTTATAACTGTACTTCCTGTAACTTTTGAAACTGATGTATTTATTGCTAAAAATTATTCCTTCCCCTTCCCTATAAGATCAGGAGAAAAACAACTGGGAAAGCAGAAAGATAAATAAATTGGAGGGAGAACAAAAGAATCATAGGCTGGAAAGAGAACAAAGTCTCAGATTAGTCAAGAGATTCTGAAACAGTTAAATGAATCCTTGACATCAGTTTTCCTTGTACTACCTGCTTTTTCACTAGTGGGCCCTTCAGAGAAATAGGTTTTCCATAAAGCGGAGAGTATCTTAAGATGCTCAGAGATGCTCTCACACTTTGGGTAAGGAGCCTCTAAGCGTGTATCTATTTTCATGCTCATTGCAGATGTCTTATTTCCTGAGGCAGCCCCACAGGTGAGAACCATGGCCTGTTTTAATGAAGACCATGCCCTTTAGCCTTTGTTAGGGAGCCAGAATACATGAGCTTTCAGCACTTGCTAATAGTAGAATTTTTAATATTTTCCAAAATTTTTCCTCATTTATTAACATTTACAGATCATATTTTCCTGCTCCACTGCAGATGATCTAAATTAAATGGAAGGAGGTTGTCACAAGAAGCTCATCAGGTGATCAGAAGCAGAAACTCTGTGGTCCAGTGTTCTACCATTTTGGGACTAAATGTATCCTTCAAGAGAAACATAAGCTGCTGGGAAGCTCAGTATCTGTAGCTGTGCTGGGGTGGCCTTCATTTTATTGCTGTGGGCCTGGTAAATAACAACCTTCAACCTTTTGTTTCTCCCTTCCCTTTTTCGGGGGGTGGTGTGTTTTGTTTAACCTTGTGTCAAAAATATCTTCCTGAAAGATCTAAGTCAGAAGTTCATCTTCCATTTCCCACCTAGGAGTGGCTTAGGTGTAAACTCCTCTTCACTTCAAAGTATAGGTCTTCACTTCCTGGCCATCGTATTCCTGGTAATGGCAACAGAATGAAACCAACGCAAAAGAACCCAAATAATCCACTGAAACCAGACTTAAGTGTGCAAGCTGTGTAACAGGCATAGGCAAAACCACTCACTGGGAGGGAAGCAAAGAAGAGAGCCAGAGAGGTACAAACCAGAATGCTCAAATGCAGGAGGAGGAAAGAAACCTCACAGGGGCAGGAGAGGAAGGCTGGTAGCTGGTACACTGTGAAAGGGAGGCTTTTCCTTGGGCCAGCAGAATGCTCTGTATATTTCAGTGACATGACCCAAATATCGTACAGCATCTAAAAGGGTTAAAATACAATCTCTTAAACTAGCTCTTAAGCTTTGCTTTGATCCCAAGCACCAAATTAATTATCTTTTTTCTTCCTGCCACATGTTACAAACAGGAAGCTTCTTTCTACTGCCAACATTCGCAGTCTCCAGACATGGGTGGTGTCCCCCTGCCACCGTGTTTCCTCCTACTAGTGGCAAATTAAAGAATGATGTGTCTTGGTACTGTTGGAAGGGAAGACCTCGGTAGCAGAGCTGAGGGAGTGAGACACTCACTGCTATTTGTTGTTGCAATTCAAAGTTATTATAGTACTGTAAAGTAAATCTTGCTTTTGAGACTATGAAAAGGTGATTTTTACTCAAGTAATGATAGGATTGTACCACTGTAGCCTGCCTCATCCTCCTGCTGTTCCCACTGACTCTCCATTTCTTGTCACATCGTGGTGTTGGCAATGGAGAGGCAGAAGAGAGGGGAAGAGGATTATGAAGGAAGGTGAAAAGTTCAGTTCTGCAAAGGTCACATGCCTTTGTATGTCAGCTCTCACATGCTTTGCCTCTTAATCTACCAAGTACTAACTGACGTACAGTGCAAGATAAAACCAAGAAAAACGTTTGGTTCCTTCTGCATCCTTTCTGAACCAGCTGGACTTTGCTTCCAATGATTTCCTATCAAATGTTTCACTACCAGGTTTTTGGAAAACACTGTGTAATTTGGTTATACAGCACCAACTTGGATTCTTGCATTAAGACAGTCCATCTTCATCAAGATGGAATTATCCAATTCACATGCAGTAGAAGAAATTCTGCAGTGTAATTACTTCTCTCCTACATGTGTCACTGGCATCTTCTGCCTACAGGGGGCAAAAATTAACTGACAGTGTGTTTTCAAAGTAAGGGCACAGAACAGGTGACCCTGCAGAGGAAAACAGTTTAGCTAAGACCCTGGGTAAAACATCACTGTTTCTGCATGTCTCTCAGAAGTAAAAGGCTGTATATTTTACTTCTCACAGTAACATACTACTACTAAGTTCCTGTGGACCATCTTTGTTGTCATGTTACTTTGCAGTATAGAACCAGGATTTAAATCACCTCTTGGGTCAGTCTGCTTTGTGTCACTGTTGCTTTCCAACTTCCCTCTCGAGAACACTTGTTCTAAAGCTTGCTTTAATTCCATGGCCAGCTGCCATACGCACGTTGATGCCCTCTTGCCTGCATTCTCCTCGGTCCTGTCCTCTGGGATGTTTGCAGCTCTGTATAGATGCTTTGCTTTGATGGCAGTTTTGAGTTGCAAATGCTGTGAAAATAAGATCTTTGACCTCTCTTCCTTTGGCTTTACTGTCACCAATTTTTGAGTTCAGCAAAACAGAACACTTGACAAATGCCAGGCAAGCTTTCTGTGTTTGTCTTTCCCAGGAACATATAGAGCTACTACACTCTCATCAGTGAAGACTTGTTTTCAGCTTTAGAAGAGTTATTACGTACTGGATTGTCTACTTAAAAAAACCCAATATTTTTAACTTTTCTATTTACTGTAAGAATAACCAGACTCTTCTTTTTGGGCGTATAATTTCACATGGCTCCATCATGTGAAATACCACTCCTCCACCCCACTCCTGCCCCAGAATATTTCAAGGGGTTTTCCCCTCCTTTTTTATGCAGTGTACATGGTGTTGACACGTGAACATACAGAACTGAACCTAGGTTTGCAGCCTAGTATCTTGAAGGAGGAAGATCTTTCAGTGCTTAGGATTGACTGTGCAATGTACTGATGGTACAACCCTTTTTTCTTTCCAGTATCAGCTCACCATAATGGAAATGTAAGGTAGCTAATTCACCACATCATTAAAAAAGGAAAGATAAATCCTTGCTTTGCTTAGCATCCCTTCTGCTAATAAGCCAGCAAAAGGCAAGTTCTGATTATGCATGTAGGTAGCATATATTGCAACGTGGTCATTCTACAGATTTTTGATTATGAGACAAATGTCCAGTCAAAACTACTTCTACTTTGCCTTTTTGAATGAGTTTTTCTCCTAGATTTGTTATAACTAGTAAATACTTACTCCAGAACTTCCTTGGAAGCCATATTCAGGTAACGATGAGATACCCACTGAATTTCAAACCAGTCTCTAAAGCCATTGTTTCCACAGCACTGGAATCCAATTTGTAACATATCCACTGTTCTCTTTAAGAAACATCGTCCAGGTATGTCTGTGTCCTTATAGAACTTAATAGCATCCCTCAGTCCCAGATAGAGAGACTCTTCCAGCTCGTTCCTCATGGTATAGCACATGAGAGCACCCACCAGGATGCAGAAGGTAAAACAGAAGGTGCACACGATGTATGGGAGCATAACTAGTTTCCAGCGAGAGAACTTATTGGTATCTGAGCAGTCATAGCAGATTTTGCCACCCAGAAAGTTGATGATACATGCTATGACCCCTACAGAGATCAGCATGTTGGGGACAGAGTTAACATCCCCTTTTGCCATCACTTCGTTGCGCTTCTTGATCTCTATTTTCAGAAAGAGGCCAAGACTGAAGAGAATGATCCCGCTCACTACAGAAACCCAGTTGAGGATCCATAAGATCTGAGCCAATTTGTCCCTCTTAGTTTTGGTGAATTTTACTTTGAGGACAGCCATAGTCAGATCAGCATTAGGAAAGGAAGCGTAGGTCAAGGAGAGCTTGTAAGCTGATTAGAAGCATCTATCCAAGGCATGCAGTAGAAATCTGAAGGGGAGAGAGACAGAGAGACAGAGATTACTGTCTGTTTGACTAGGTTATTTATAGAGGCTACAGAAAACTTCCTGTACAGCCTCATGCACTCTGAGCCCTGCCAAGGGAGTTCCCCAGTGACGTTTATAGCTTAAATTTCAGCTGTAACAGTTATTTTTCTTCTAGTAGCTGGTGCAGTGCTGTGTCCTTTAATAACTTTCCTGTGTGATCTATGGATTCTTATTTTTCTTTTCAAAGGTCACAATGATGGACATAAAAAATATTCAGAGAGGATCCCCCTGAGTTTCAAATCAATATTTCAGTTTCACAGCTGAAGGAGGACTTCTGTGTTTCAAGGTCTATCCTCTCTTCCCCAGCTATTAGTGGATCTAAGAAAAGAGACCATCTTTCCCAGCACTTTTAACGTTGCTTCTCTGCAAATGTTGTGTAACTCCTCCTTTGCATCTCTCCAGTTATATCACAATCACAGGCAGAATGCAGCTAATAACATCCAAGATCCAAAACCTGTTAGAGCTGAAGACAATGTGTTTCAGTGTACGTGATTTGGATGTAGAACTGTGCTGCAGTACCTCAGGACCAAGCAATGATCTTTTACCTGTCTTCAATGCCTTGTGTTTGCCTTTCCTCATTTACATGTTTGTACAGTCAATTCAATTCCACTAATACAATGGCATTTATCAACAGTAAAACATAATCCTGCAAATTTGGGGAAATAGAGAAGTGTAAGCAGCATTATTCTTGTATAATATTTTTTAAGCTAGTGGATGCTACTCCTTCACTCTGAATAAAACTGGTATTGGCTAAACCAGCATGAAAACCACCTGCAGACAAGTTGTACAGAAACAGGGCTACACCTACCCACTAAAGGATCCACAGCTGCAACAAAGCTTAACATGGGGTAAGCAGATTGTTGTAGAGTACAGTTTAAAAAGGTAATTGCATCGCAGCATCTTCATCTGTGCATGTCAGCAGTAATCGGTTCTGGTTTAGAGGCAAGGAATAGGTTGTTCCATTCATATTATGCTTAGACATCTTCATGCACTTCAATACCAAAACATTTTAATGCCTGAGATCTACTTCATTTTTGTTGATTTATTTTCTCTTGCATTTACAGAGGAAACTACTTCCCCTCAAACTATTCATTTTTGTGTATCTTTTGTGCAATACAGAGAATAGTGTGCAAAATGCACAGTACTTTTCTTATTTGCAAAGGTGTTGAGGCCAGCAGCTCTCTTTAAAAACAGGGCCCTGCTTTTAATGATTGTTAAGGCTGATTATCAGTTATGGTTGAATATTGATTGTGATCATACTGCGATAACCGTATCAGTTATAATGATGAAGTACTGATTATTGATAGACACCTCTGTACAAACAAGCCCAGACTACAGTCATTCATAAAATGACAACACTTTGTTCACACTGTTCTTCTGTGGTATCCTTCAGACCTCATTTAGAAAGGTCATGCTCTGCTGGCACAGAATTAAGCCTCCATACGAATTCAGCTGACAGCTTGTCTGCTAAGCCTGGAGACAGTATCTTTGATTGCTTCACCAGTTAAGCAGTTCATGACTTGAACTTAAATAGCTGTAGATGGCTGCTGCAAATAGATTTATCTGCCCCTGATACTCAGGTCTCAGAGCTCACAATAGAGAGAATCTGTTGTGAAATCCCCTAGCTGCTGATAGGCAGCTCATGTTAACGGCCAGTGTATATGAATGCATCCCTCCCTGTTCATACTATCAAATACTCATGTGTATTTACAAAATGCCTCTGAATTGTTAGGCACGTGCAGAGCTACAGTGTCACTGAAAACACTCTGCTTGTCAAAAGTCATTTGCTGTAATATTTGAACAAAAGTTGTCAACAGTTCCAACTTCATTTAAAAATCCATCTACTCAAGAGGCATTGTTGATTTTGGAAGATGTAAATGTGATACTTTGACATATTTTATCCATAAAGAAATTTGAAGCAGAATTCCATAAGCAGGGATACATTCCATCTGGTACAGCTATTCCACTAGAGCTCCCTCACCCAATTTCAGATGCCTGAAGTTAAAATAATGAAAAAATCCTGTGCAAGAGCAACTCTCAAGTCCTTGCCTCCAGTGATTCTCATCTGGTATTTCCAGCTTCCTTAGTGCAATTTCAATATTGTTATAAGACCAACTTTCATGGAAATTTTTTCATGCATCTAACAGAGATACTGCAGTCCTCTAGTGGTGTAAGATCTGCTGTTTCATATGAGCTGTACTGCCAGAGGAAAGGGGGGGAAATGACTGGTTGTTGTAGTGCAGTGACCACTCGTTGACTGTCCCTGGCCATCGCTGATATACCTGGGATTGCACAAAGGGTACACTGTGCTCATGAAACTTTGAGTGCATTGAGCCTGGGACAGAAGAACAACTTGCCTCCTCTGTTGCAGTGTTCCCAGCTTCTATGTGGATACTTCTCTTCAGATCATTTTTTCCTATCTGTTTAATGAATTTATTTTAGATAATGAGAAGACTCTCTTCCCATCATAGTGAGTTTTGTAAAACACACCACGTTTTCCCTAACTGTTCAATGGAGTATTGAATATATCTATACAGCATAAGATGTATTGCAATGTGCAACTGCTGTGTAGTAGTTTTTTGAGCTGTGTAGCATTTTTTGAGCATCATGAAGAAAGTTCTTCCAGCTGAAAGAACTGAAGTGCAGTTATGCTGTAAAAGTGTCATTGTCTTGCATCTGTTCTTCTCCAAGTTACATTTGGTAGTGGGCTACTGTAAAACCACAAATGCTCCTGGTAGTTCAGTGGAACTAACACCTTTATCAAAATTCTTTGAAACACACCTTGCCATTGCACACGAGGCACTCCAGAGGTATGAAGCACCTGCACACAGACATTTTAATCCCAGCTATAGGAGAACAAGCTAATTCATTCTATAAAGGGAGAAATATTTCTTTCAACAGAAGCAGCCAAATAAATGTGAACATCCCTGCCATATTATTGATACTGTTTTCAAGTTTGCCTTGTCCAACACACTTCAAAGACAGCTTCCATCAGCATATGGTAGGTAGCTTTTTGCTTCCACCTACCTGTTCCTTTGGTATCAATTTCCCCCAACTATATAGAACAAGACATAGCCCAGCTATTCATTTTTACATAACACTTACCTATTAGATGCAAATTTTGCACAGAAATTTGGCTTGCAATTTTGTCATAAAGAAACCACATCTTATCTTACCAATTTCACTAAAATCTACCATTTTTGCTAAACACACATCTGTAAAAGAAACTACTAACCTGCTTCAGAGGACTGAACAAGATCTTGAAACTGGCAACTTGCTGAGTACAGTGGAGAAAATACCTGGATCAGGCATCCTGAGGAAGACTGAAGTACTGATTTCCTGATGTCCGTGGAGTTCTTCTGTCCTGGTGGAGATGAAGAAAGAGACTTCAACTCTCCTGCCTGTGCTAATCTCTAATCATAGCTAAGAGATTTATTTCAAGGTTCTTATGCCACCAGGTTAAGTCCTGCAAAACAGGCCAATTAGCTGAGTGAGAATGCACTGAGATCTCACCAAGAAAATGCATTTATAGTAAGTTCTTTTACCTTTCTGCACCCCAGAGGTTCTGGCTAGCAAGCAAGAGACTGTTCTTCAGTACCTGCTAATGCCTTCATTAGTTCTTAACTTGTTCTTAACAAACAATAAGTACGGGTCCAAGAGAGACAAGAATGAAACTTTGTGCTTCCGTCTGAAGAGAAAAATCTTAGGCAATCATCATTTACACTCTCTATTATGTGCCTTGCCCATCATTCCATAATTTTTGGATGGAATCATCTGTTGTCTGAACTGACTGTGGCTCTGTCCAAGAAAGGAATTCAAGTAACCAAGAGCAATTGGATCATCCTGTATGACTCACAGTAGATTCTGGTTTGGGAAGCTTTCCAGGTTCAAGAATAATCTAGTAGAAACCTCTGTCCTAGGCTCTTGAAAGCTTTATCCCAAGCCAGAACCAAAAGCATCTTGTCCCCTGGCATTTCTGAGCCCAGCCTGTAGTAATTTGTGGGATGCACATTGCTGGATTGAACTGGTAACAGTAATGGCAACAAGCTGAATGTGCAGCAATGCTTGATTAAGTTAGTGGTGATGTTGGTACTGGAACTGAATCACTCAGCAGGAGCAGGGTTGGTCTATAGGGTTCAAAATACATCAGAGTTGAGTGAACACGCACGACTGACTGTGAGGGACTCTGTACCAGGGATAGTAGTGCATGTGAATATTCTCAGCTAATTAGTCCTCTCCCAGATAATGATAAGCAATAAACCAGTACCATGATACTACTGTGATTCTAACTCTATTCTGGAAATATGCCTCCCCACCTTGTTTAAAGTATCATGCTTCTGTAAAGGTAGACACCCCTCTGCATGCATCAGTATTATCACACTTAGGAAAGGTGAAAGATTAGTTATCACTGCAACTCCGTCTATCAAAGTCTTGAGTAAAGCAGAGACTGGAATATCTAACTACAACATCCTAAAAAGAAAAAACAAACAGGACTCGTTCAGTTGCCAGAAGTAATTTCATACATTACTGCATGGAAGAAGAAGGATCATAACTGCCAATGTCACTGTGTACCTCCACGGGGTGAAAAACCCCAAGGAGATGTCCCAGCAGGATACTCATACAGTGAAATTCTCTCCCTTTTCAGTTTTTCTGATACAATCAAACTCATAACTAATAGTCATGCTGAAAGCTCCATCTAACAGTGCATCATCTAGTACCATATGGCAAACTTTCACAGAGCTGCCTCCTGCACGTCCCTGGAGCCATGCAGGCTCAATGTGCCCTTTGTGGGCAACTTCAGTTCAGATAAATATCATTTACCATATCTTCACCTTTTAAAAAGAAATGCCTGAGGTGGGCTTCCAGCTTTCTATCTTGCTTATGTGCTGATGTACAGCACATCCAGGAAACTTCGGATCAAAAGCCGATGTAATACATCTGGGACCTGTTGGACTTACTGCATATGGACCACACAAACGCTTGCATGGGATCAAATACGCCTCAACTGCATTGAATTAGTCCTGTGCACATGAATCATTCATGCTTTGGACTTGCTGTACTCATGCAGACCACAAGGAATAAGAGATCTGTTCAAATGTGTACACTTGTGTACAGATCAACTCTACAGAGCATATTCAACAGGTGAAATATATGCCTTGTGGACAGCACAGGTACACAAATGCACACATTTGCCTGAGATTTTTGAGCTATTGCTCTGGCTGGAATGGGGTATATTAGAAATCCTGGATAAATGTCTCAAATCCTTTTCTATGCCCAGAAAAAGTTCATGGGTGAAACCCCACACATCTGTGGAATTCCAGACGTATGTTACCCCTGAGTATTAGAAAATGTTATTGCCTCAGATACCTACTAGTAGAAAAATGCACCTTCCCTGTTGTTGCTTTGCAATATAAACCTAGTACTTACATGCACGACAGAAAGCAAGCAGAAGATGGCAGTGCTGCTGTATGTAGTTCTTTTCCTACAGTGCAAAGTAAGAAGCTTTATTTGATTTATGTTAGAGAAATCAAAGGTCACTCACACAGCTCGGTCAAGCTCAGGTGTGCATCATTGTAGGAAACAACTTAAATCCAATCTTAACTGCAGTTAGAGGTCAATGCTACCTGTATTTTTTTGTTCCATCTCACACTGGGAAATGGTTTCAGCTGCAAAGTTAACATTAAAAGTTGAAATACTCAGAAACTAGTTTCTGGCCATCTACAACTAACCATGATGCACTTTCCTACAAACCTGCTGGGAAGCCTGGACACCAAGACCATAATGATAGAGTAGCATTTTGTACCTCAGAAGGAGTGATTATACCTGTAGGTCTGCAATCTATCACCCACTTTGCTGCTAACAGTGGAGATTGCTGTGTTGAGGTTTAGGATCTGAAAGAGGTAAATTTAATAAATGTTTGGCCAATTACTCATCTGTTTAGTACCGCTCATATATAAGTCCACAAGCAAGGACAGATGTATTCTGAATTAGCCCAATTAAATAGCTAGTTGGGAGGATGCATGCTGCAAAATTTAATTTTACACCTAGTTTCCAAAAGTTAATGTTTTATTTTTATATTTCAATGGCTTTCCATTTCATCTTCTGTTTAATGCAAATGATAACTAATGAGAAGAGATTTTGGAGTGATGGACTAAAACTGGAGGCACTTACTAGGTCTGACACAAGCAGGTAGTACACGACCCTTCTTTCACATGTCACAGCTCCAGAGGGAGAGTCCATATTCAGGAAGAGATTCTTGCTGATATATGTTAATGTGGAGAGGGTATGAAAAAGGGAATTCAGACCATCTGCTGCTTTTGGCTTTGGTAAAGTTATGAATCACATGGTAGATACTGAGAGGTGTAAGTTATTAGGCAAATAGAAGCAACTGGGTCTTTGCAGAATATTCATCTCTCAATTGCATTTTTGAACTTTTAGGAAGGAAGTAGAGCATTATCTAGATGATTACAGTTGTTCCAGTTTGATGAAGACACCTAGGCTAAATCAATCATTTGAAATTCTTATAGCAGAATTGGCAGAGGGAATATCAAAACTCAAAGACAAGCGGTAATGGGGGTGGACAGTAAGTTAAAAGAACTCAGTTTGTACATTAGGGTGCCACAAAGCTTATTGCAAACTAAGTAAATATGTTTTGCAACTCCAGCTTTACACTGTACTGCCATTGTACCCGGAGACCCCTGTACCATGCAAAATACAGATACTCTCATTGCAGCTCATTTAATTGCCTGAGGAACATCACAGAATGAACAAATCAGAAAAAGTATTATTAATTTTCATGTTTAGATGTTTAAAGGTTATAACAATATGGATGCTGGAGTGTCTCAGGCAAAAAGATTATAGCAGACTTGCACGAAGTGCAGTGCACATGTCCTGCTAGTCTTTAGAACTCCTGTACGTTACGGGAAACACCGTGTGCGTACCTGTCAAGGCAGCTCTGATTTCAATCCATAGGAGCTGTACTGTCCATAATCTCTGAGTCATCCACTCCTGACTCACGGTGAGTCATTACAAATGGAAAACTAAGGCACAGAAATAGGATATTTACCTTAAAATCAGACCAGCAGTTCATAGTAAAGCTGGAAAATGAATCTGTATTTTAAATTTGTTGGTAACCTAAAACTTCCATCTTGGCTGTAATTTTTTTCTGAAGACTAATCCATTTTTATGACCTATTCATAATCAGACCATGCAGCAACTTTGCTTTTCACATTTGTGCCTTATTCACTATGGATCATATCATCACAAGCCAGTCATCAGGAAGCTTTTTGCAAAATGGAATTACACACACATTATGAAGGTTTCCAACAAAATTCCCCTTACATCATGAGGTATAATTTCCTTTTTCTGTTCCGTATCCCATAGCATCAATACTTAGGTGCACTATACTGCCAATTGACCCTTCCTCCCCTAGCAAAGCGGTCAGACATAAACTCTCACACTTCTCCTTGAAGAGACCTCCTTTACTAATCAGGAAGTCTCCCTGTTCACACCCTATTATAAACCTGGTGTTGATGCTGTTTTTCACTCTCTAGACACTATCGAACTGAAAATATTACTCAGGACATCTTGGGGAATCTGAGATTCTTTCAGAAAGTAAAAATGACAGTTACTAAAAAAAAGAAAAAGAGACTTACGAAGTTTCTGAAGCTGTCAAATAGAGAAAACCCACCACCTGGCCACAGTGCTCTTATTGCTCCTCTGAAAAAGATCCAAGATCCCTCTGTCCCTTCAGCGGTGACTTCGTGCTTATTGACACTGTGCCTAGAAATGATCTTTGAAAAAAAGACAGAAGAAACTCAGTTTTCTTACTCTGGAGAAGACTGATGGTGCAGGTGAAAATAGTGTTCAAGTAATTTTGAGATGGTTGGACAGACGAAGGGAATAAATTCCTTTGATGACAGGAGAAGAAATACTAGGTGAAATCTTTCTTTTAGCAAGAACAGTGAAACAGCCCATGAAAAAGCTTGATTTCCATCAACAGTTTACTTTTAGAAGAGGTTGACAAATATCAGCCAGGAATATTGTAGGGACAGTTGGTCCTTCCTTGGGAAAAGGGCTGAACTTGATGTCTCAAGGTCTTGTGATTTTTCATTTGCCATGAACTGGATACCTGGTTAAACATCTACAAAACTCTGCAAGTCCTATCCCATCCTTGGTCCATACTTCTTTTGCTCATTGACATTTGCCTGAAATGTGAGCTTATAAAACACGTTTACCTTTTTACTCTTCAGTGAGAGCATTGTTTCCCTCTCCATTTATATACTCAGTTTTAATTACAATTTTCATCAAATTCTAGGATTTGGTGGATGTTCATTTACTGACTAACCAAACCTATGAATTCTCCATCTCTTGGAAATGAATACTTACGAAGTCTGTGCATCTTGCTCTCTGT